TTAGGCGTTTCTCATGGTAACACATTCCTTTCGCTATCATAAGCACTTGTTACTGTAAGCTTAAAATGCACAATCCAGTTTGTTACAGTGACCGCAGTGGTAGTATGCGGAAACCTCTAGTGGTAGTATGCAACCTCTAGTGGTAGTATGCAGAAAGTTCATGTTATTTAGAGTTAAAAGGTTATTGAGTCCACAGTCTATATCAGGGATGGGCAACTTTGATGGGGGTGGGGGCCACAAAAATGGTGAACTCATCATGAGTTGCACCCCCCCCCCCCCCCCCTCATATGTTATAACACATTTTGTGCAATTCAACAGATTTTGACATAGGGTGAGGGAAATGATTTCAGTTTTAATATGAGTGAGACTGGCTAACAAAATCGATGGGGGCCCCCCGTTAGATAATTCAACCATGATTACTACAAGTTTAGATAGATGGCCGCTAGACTAACTTACCAATCTAAAAAAAAGAATGCTGACATGGGCTAATTGTGTAACAACAGAAAAACTGCTCATGCACAACCAAATTTGTAAATTGCACCTTGTGTATTCTACTATTCTAACTCGCAACAGTTATTTGAGACTCCACCCACCCCCAGTTAAGCATGATTTACAGGGTCCACTGCAGTGGAGGCTGGTGGGAGGAGCTATAGGAGGACGGGCTCATAGTAATGGCAGGAATGGAATTAATGGAACGGAGTTGTAAATGAGAACTTGTTCTTAACTGGCTTACCTGGTTAAATAAAGGTGAAATAAAAATAAATAAAGTCAAACATGGTTTCCATATGTTTGATGTGTTTGACACATTCCATTTATTCCATTTCAACCATTACAATGAGCCAGTCCTGCTATAGCTCCTCCCACCAGCCTCCTCTGGTCCACTGAGCTATCATTCAAAATAACTGCGTTATGTTTCCACAATAAGAACCAATAAAATGCGGAGCCAGTTAGGCCTACTGAAAGTCTAATACTTTAGAGAGAAAGATGGATAATGACAGGCCTTCTATTTTTTTCTTTAAGTATATACAATAATTAAGTTTATATATATATGTTCCCAAACCCAATGCTTAGCCATCCTAAGCTGTATTTTTGGTGCCAGAAAACAGGCGGAGACCACTGTCATTTCCCAACATCGATTCAGTCCTCCTCTGCCTTCAGTCTCATGTATCCTCCCTGCTGGAACCCAACCACCACACTTGTCCCTGTAAACCACCCAGTAATAACAGGCTTGTCTAAAGCCAGACCCTGTTAAACGCCCCTGGCTGCTTAGTTTAGAGTCTATCCTTCTGAGGAGATGTATTTTTCTCTATATACAGTATATTCATAGTTTTATTTCCGCTCACAGCAGAACTTGTTGCAACAAACAAATTGCCACAGTTCTTTGTCCCGTTCTGCTGCAGCTGAAATGGGAAGATAAGAAAGTAATTTATCAAATCTGATTCCATTCCTTATTTCAGAGGGCTGGGCAGGATGCTAGCCCAACTAAAATCCCAGAGGAGCAGTGGGTTTTTTCTCTTCAGGGCCCATTTTGAATGGGGCCTTTCTGCAAAACTCATTAATATCATAGTACAGTCACACCTATATTCGCTTGCTAAACTTCCTGCACAAATCCAAACAGGTCCGAGAGACAGACTGACTTCTGAGATTTACCTGTTTGCCTCCTCCATAGAACAGCACTCCTGTGTAGGGTAAGAGCTCAGGCTTATAAAGGGCACTCACTAAGGCACAACTGAGACTTGTTTCACAGAAAACAGCCATCAAAAGGCTTAATTTAACTGTAGGTGAGCCTTTTAACTCCTTCCTCTACCTGAGTTAGGGCTGTTTATATTCTCATCTGTTTGCGTTCCAATTCACAAACATCTAAGCACCTTATGCATAATGAGGCTCATTCCCTCACTTGTGGATGGCATAAGGACCAGATATTTCTACCTGATGTTCATTTGCAAGATCAAACGTGTTATTTTACAGTAAATTCATGGGGCACCTCACTATGTGAGCATGGTAGTAAAGTTGTGATTTGCATTGTGGTTGTACACAAGAAAATCTTACATAGACCATTCAAGTCCCTGCAACAGCACATATCAAATATAGCTATAGAAAAGTATCACTGAACACTCTAGCTGCCACAATGAGAGAGAAAGACTGTGTGTATGTGTGTGTATATACTGTGTATGCCATTTAGCAGATGCTTTTATCCAAATCAACTTACAGTCGAACCCTCTATCCTGGAGTTGCAAGCACCATGCTCTACCAACTCAGCTACAGAGGACAACAGACTAAGGATCGGACCCTTTTTTTCAATTTTCGCCTAAAATGACATACCCAAATCTAACTGCCTGTAGCTCAGAACCTGAAGCAAGGATATGCATATTCTTGATACCATTTGAAAGGAAACACTTTGAAGTTTATGGAAATGTGAAATTAATGTAGGAGAATATAACACATTAGATCTGGTAAAAGATAATAAAAAATAAAATAAAACATCTAGTCACTGCTGCCATCTAGTTTTCTATTTATTTTTGCGTGTGCAAAGTTTCAGATTGATCCAGTGAAGCACTATTTTGTATAAAGTCTGCCCAAATGTGCCGAATTGGTCAATTGATGCATTTTCAAGTACATAACTATAGAGAACATACAAAAATGATATGGTGTGAGCCAGAGACTGCAAGAGTTGAAACTGTAGAACCCAGTTCCTACATTTGAATATAAAAATTGATTTTATCAAACAAAACTAAGCTACATTTTATCTCTGGGACCCTCAGGATGACAAATCAGAGCAAGATTACTGAATGTAAGTACATTATTTAGCTTCAGAGGTGAATGTATCAAACCAGTTGCCATGATAAGTTTGTTGTTGTTGGGCACTCTCCTCAAACATTAGCATGGTATTTTTTCACTGTAATTGCTACTGTAAATTGGACAGTGCAGTTCGATTAACAAGAATTTAAGCTTTCTTTCCATATAAGACATGTCTATGTCCTGGAAAGTTTGCTATTACTTACAACAGTCATGCTAATCACATTAGCGCACGTTAGCTCAAACATCCCGTATACGGGACACTGATCCCGTAGAGGTTAAAAATACTGTCAGAGTAAACTCCAGACAGAATACACAGAATTAAACTAGTATTGGAATTGAGAATGGTAATGTTAAGTGTGTGTTTATGTGTGGGTGTGTGTGTGTGTGTGTCATCAGTTTGCATGTGTGTGCATATTATGTGTGTGTGGGTATATATAGTGTGTGTGTGTGTGCGTGTACAAATGTGTGTGGGGGAGGGGTGTCTGCGTGCGTTAGTAAGTGTACTGTATAGGTGTACTGTATGTGTATTTATGTATATACTGTAGGTATGTGCGCATTGGCTGGGTCGTGTGCTGTGAAATTCCACCTTCGTTGCTCGGCCCTAAATAAACAGAGGGAGTGTGTGTGTGTGTGTGTGTGTGTGCATGTGTTGTACCGAATTTAATTCAAATGCTACTACTGTCATATTTCTGAGAATGAAAAGTATCCACTTCTCTTTCTCTCTTTCATCACAACCCTTCGACAGAAATGAAATGAAGGCTCTATATTTATTTGTGCTAAATTAGTATGTAGGCTACATATTCTTAAAAATCTGGAACTTTCTACTTAAGAGTTGAGGGTGGAGCTCTTCCTCCCATGTTAAAGACTGAATTCAGGCTACTGTTGGGTAGAAGGAATGTTTACGTGGTTGTGCTCAGTGCGTCTACACTGTATGCACACACATAAAGGCAAACATACATCACCATCAAAGCCAGCAGCACCCTTAAAAACTAAACATTATACCTCCCACAGTAGAGGGACAATGGACACAGAATTGCTCACACTCAATCTTAACAGTTGGTGTATCTTGCTCTTCACACTCCAATCCTGTCAAGACCTGCCACAGCCATTCAGCATCTAAGAATAACAGAGGGATAATTGACAGAGTTCAAATACTATTTGAAATAATTTGAAGTGCTTTAGCTGTGCTTGATTGAGCTTGCCTCTTGCAATGGAACAAATATAAAAGTCCCAGAAGTTGAAATCCAGCCCACCTGGCACTACAGGCAGGCTAAAGCAAACATTCAAAGTATTTGTAAGATTTCAAATAGTATTTGAACTCAGGTCTGGGCCTTGCCTACATAAGTTGGGAATTACTGGGCCCTTTAAGATTACAGACCCAGGTCTATACAGAAGATTTGACGAGCACTGGATATTTACATAAGCTATCGTGTGATGGTGCAATGCATCTGACTTTTGTATTAATGTGACATTGAGTGTGTTTACATACACAGGATTAATTCAATATTAAACTGATTATGGCAGTAGGCAGATTATGCAATAGTCATGTAATCACCTTACTCTGCTTATCTTTGTCGGCGTTTAGTAAGCATACGCCGATTAAAACACCAGGTTTTCTGAGCAATCTTTCAAATTATTAGGACATGTTAACACCTTTATTGGTGTTCCAGCTGTGTATTTGATCTGCACTTGCGAGCACCGGTAGCGCAAGCCTCCCTCTTTAGCGTGAGTGAAGTGAGTTCGGAACAACTGAATGTATGCATCTTAGAAAGAGTTTTCAAATACAAACTTTAAATCTCAGAACTCAAAATCAAATATACTTCCCAAAAATAACATGGTAGAGCATCTATTTTGATTGGCGATTTTCTGCATTTATCACAGTGCAATCAGGTAGCCTGATTTCAGATGTGTCCATGTAAACAGGATTATTAAGGAAATTGTTTTTCTTGCAAAGCATGTAAACATTTTAAATAATAATAATAATAATAATATGCCATTTAGCAGACGCTTTTATCCAAAGCGACTTACAGTCATGCGTGCATACATTTTTTTTGTGTATGGGTGGTCCCAGGGATCGAACCCACTACCTTGGCATTACAAGCGCCGTGCTCTACCAGCTGAGCTACAGAGGACCACCATATAATCAAACTATTATATTAATCTGACTATCCACAATAATCGCATGGGTTTCCCTTGAACAGGGGGGTCATATCTGCTTCAATCTCTGGAGTATCAATCACAGCTGGTCTGTCTTTAGGCTTTTCGTCGCTGACATCTTCGCTCTTGGACTTGTGCAGCACGTAGCCCTTGTTCCACTTGCTGTCGGCGCCCTCATTGGGCTTGCGGATGTTGAACTCCACCTTGGCACGGCCCTTGTCCTGCATGGCCTTCCATTCGTCCAGGGTCATCTCCTTGGGGCCCTCCTCCTTAGGTTCCTCTACTTCGTTCTCCTTATTCTCAGAGTCAGCAGGAGGGTGTTCCTCTCCCTCAGGGGTTTCCTCAGGGGCAGTAGTCTGTTCAGCATCACCACTCGTTTCGTCCTTGGGGTTCCCCCGGTTGTGAGTGCCACTCCCGCCGCGCTTCTCCTCAGATTTCTGAGGTTTGTCGCCGCCGCTGTGTCTGTCGAAGCCGTTGCCCCGGCCCATGCCCCGTCCCCGTCCTCCACACCCACCAGGGTGCCACCACGCCCTCTGGGGGGCCGGTCTCCTAGAGGCTTGTCTGCAGAGAACTCACCTCTCTCTCCGCCATCGGGTTTGTCCTCGAGGTATTTGTCGAAGCGACGCTCGCGTGGGGGTCTCCTGTTGTCCGGCCTCCTGTCGCCGGAGGGCTGCCCTTCGCCCTGCCCGCCCTGGGTGCCAGGCTGGCCCTGCTAGTCCAGCCTCCGGCCCACCTGCCTGATAACTTCTTTCTTCAGAGGTACTGGAGCCTGAGTTTCATCTTTCTTGTCAAGGAGCGGATTCTTCCTGTCCTTCTGTGACTCTTTCTTGGGCTGCAGATTTGGTGATACCAGCTGCGGCCGCCTCTTTCTTGTTGTTCTCCACCGCCTTTAACACCTCGAACGGATCTGATTCATCATCCAATAGCTGGTCAAACCGATTCGTTACGACACAGCCAAAGCCTTCTTGCAGTTGTCTGGGCATGATGGCGCCACTTCAGCGGGATTGACCTCCGATTCTACGAGACTTGGTGCGAACAATTCCCTAAATACTGCCACAAGATGGCTGGGAAATTAACACCATTTGAATGGAAGCACTTTGAAGTTCGTGGAAATGTGAAATTCATGTAGGAGAATATAACACATTAGATCTGGTAAAAGATAATACAAACAAAAAAACATGCAATTTATTTATTTTTTATTTCATCTTTGAAATGCAAGAGAAAGGCCACAATATAATATTGCAGTTTAGACACAATTTAGATTTTGGCCACTAGATGACAGCAGTGTGTGTGCAAAGTTTCAGATTGATCCAGTGAAGCGTTGCAATACTGGAGTATTTTGTATCAAGTCTGCCCAAATGTGCCGAATTGGTCAATTGAAACATTTTCAACTACATAACTATAGAGAACATACAAAAATGATATGGTAATACAAAATGTACGTTTACACACTCCCAGGAATGTCATACATGATGGATCATTAGCTTATACACTCACTTTCACACATCTAGATTGCCGGGTGGGTGTGGAGCCAGAGACAGCAAGGGTTCAAACTGTGGAACCCAGTTCCTACATTTGAATATAAAAATGGGTTTTATCAAACAAAACTATGCTACATTTTATCTCTGGGACCCTCAGGATGATAAATCAGAGCAAGAGAACTGTATGTAAGTACTTTATTTATCTTCAGAGGTGATTGTATCAAACCAGTTGCCGTGATAAGTTTTTGGTTGTTGTGCAATCTCCTCAAACAATAGCATGGTATCTTTTCACTGTAATAGCTACTGTAAATTGGACAGTGCAGTTAGATTAACAAAAATGTAAGCTTTCTACCCATATAAGACATGTCTATGTCCTGGAAAGTTTGCTGTTACTTACAACAGTCATGCTATTCACATTAGCACACGTTAGCTCAACCGTCCCGTATACGGGACACCGATCCCGTAGAGGTTAAGTGCCCTTTCCTATATGCATGCTGAAAGTAAGTAGTTAACTTGTTCTTTTAAAAAATTGCATTGTATTTGTTCAAACACAATTCTCTCCATCAGTTTACTAAGAACAGTAAGATTAACAGCAGTTGCAGCAGCGTATGTGGTGAGTGTGAAAGTATGTGTGTGAGTGTCATCAATTTGCGTGTGTGTGTGTGTGTGTGTGTGTGTGTGTGTGGGTAGAGTGTGTGTGCGTAGAGTCCAGTGAGTAAGTGCAAGAGAGTTAGTTCAAAAAAGCATCAATGCAGGTAGTTCAGGTAGCCATTTGATTAGCTATTTAGCAGCCTTGTTTAGCAGTCGTATGGCTTGGGGGTAGGAGCTGTTCAGGGTCCTGTTGGTTCCAGACTTGGTGCACTGGTACCGCTTGCCATGCAGTATCAGAGAGAACAGTCTATGGATCTTAATTTCATCACTCTTTTGTTGCTGAGAATTTTCCTGCACAGCAGGAAATGCAAACGTGTAGTGTATTTGCGTTTTAAAAAGGCTTCTAAAGTTTGTAATTTGCACTTTGAAATGTCAGACTTGATTTGCCAAATGAAAAATGTATCAACCCCTACAAAAATGTCCATTATTTATAATCCACATAATAATTAACATTTCCTGTTGCTGCATGATTATTTTCCTGCTGTTGCAATCTGGCTCAAATTAAGATCCTACATCTGTACATATTCATGCTGACTCTACACCACGCACACACACTCACATACAGTCATCATATACGCTGCTGCTACTCTGTTGATATCCTGATGCCTAGTCATATCTACCCCTACCACTCCAGTATCCCTGCACATTGTAAATATGGTATTGGCACTGACCCTTGAAATGACCCTGTATTAAGCTTAATTACTTTCTCGTCTTCTTATTATTTCTATTTCTCTTGTGTTTTTGTTCTACTTTACTTTATTTTATATTACTACTGATATTGATTACTGCATTGTTGGGAAAGAGATTGCAAGAAAGGCATTTCACTGTACTTGTGCAAATGACAATAAAACTTGAAAGAATGGCAATGTAGACATGCATTCACTCTAGCCTTTTGGGGGCTCCTCGCAACCCTTGCGACACCTCACCCTACCTCACGACCCTTGCGTCAATCTTTTTTTTTATATGGACCCAAAACATGACTCAAGAGAACTTTAGTTTATTTCTAGTCGTGCTTCATGGCTGTCTGTCAGTGACTGACATAGCAATTGGAAAACTGCTGATGTACTACCAAATTTTGAAATTGCACCTTGTGTATTCTACTATTCATACTCTCAACAGTAAGAGTGTGGACATCATTTGGAGGTGGACATCAGTGGACACCATTTGGAGGTTCTGGTTTCTCACTGGGGCTCTGAGTCCTGGACTGATGTTTAATGTGAAAAGGCCCACTGAGATGCTGAAACCGAACCATAGCCTACATCAGAGATGAATTGTTAAAATGCTGACTAACGTTCTGGTGTAGTTATTTAGGTACTAAACCTGCCGTCATTGACCAGCGAAATAATAACCTGAGTGTTTTTTGATAGATTTTGTGTTTTATTGTTTTCTCATTTATCAGACTGGGTGTGGCAAATTAACAATGAGTGAAAATTATTTGATTGAATGCTATTCAGTAATGTAATGTAAACAAATTGGACAAATGGTAGCTGCTGATGTCAGTCTTTCTCACACATATACGCGTATGCACCTCTGAAGATAATCTGCATGTTGTAGTTTTCACATTACATCTCTCTGAGGTGAGTTGGCAGTTTGTGTATGAAACCACCTGGACGTCACCTTGATGGTCTTTATTTTAAGGTGAAGTCTCAAGAGTTGGTCAGGAAATTAAAAAAGGCAGATACACACAAACACACAAGGTGCATTCCACTGATACACACCACCCCTGTCCATCTCCCTCCAGTACAACTGCTCACCAAAATAATATGTTCTCTTCACCCTACTCTTCCTCATTTGTGTCTGTCTTTGTGTTAATTTCTCTCTCTGTCCCTCCCTCCCTCTCTCAGTCTCTCTCCCCATGTGGCTTGATTATACATCACTGGTCAGTTCTCTGGATAGTGTGATTGAACCTAGACTGAATGACTGTATTGAAGATGAGATGGCTCTTTCCAGTGGTCATAAACTCTGGTGTGAAATAATTTCCCTGCTGAATATAGCTGCTTGTTTAAGGACCACTGAAGATGCCAGCTGGACTGTCTCTCTCTCCTGTGCAGCCACAGCAGGCAGGTCCTTTAGTGTAGAACCCCAATAGGAAAGCTATTACTATTAATAAAAACAAATTCCCAGTACAGACACTCTTGGCACTGGAGACGAGTGGCCTTTAGGTAGTTTCTTACTAAACATGATCATAAGGCAAGCCAAGTATTGACTGGAACTGTAAGTACATCTTGTACAAATGCTTAAACAATGATATGATTAATGTTATGCTTGTTTACATCTGGCAAGCGACATGCCCTACACAACCCCCATATAAGTCAAAGTTATTTCATTACTTGTCAGCTGAAATTAGGACTACTAATACTACTGAGAAACTGAGAACATTAAATATTGAGCAAAAGGCCTTTCCCATGCATCTCTGACAATAAATTATACACAACAGAGCTGGAGATGTCACGCTCGTTGAAGGACGGGTCAGACATTTACATTTACATTTACATTTTAGTCATTTAGCAGACGCTCTTATCCAGAGCGACTTACAGTTAGTGAATACATTTTTTATTTTATTTTTTTATACTGGCCCCCCGTGGGAATCGAACCCACAACCCTGGCGTTGCAAACGCCATGCTCTATCAACTGAGCTACATCCCTGCCGGCCATTCCCTCCCCTACCCTGGACGACGCTGGGCCAATTGTGCGCCGCCCATGAGTCTCCCGGTCGCGGCCAGCTGCGACAGAGCCTGGATTCGAACCAGGATCTCTAGTGGCACAGTTAGCACTGCGATGCAGACCAAGGCGCAGCGTGAAATGCATACATGTTAATTATCCAAAAATAAACACACAAACAAAACAACAAAACAACGTAACGTGAAGTCCTCAGGCTAAACACAACACAACAAAGCAACGTAACTGTCACGATCGTTGACACATGATGAAGCGGACCAAGGCGCAGCGTTGAGGGTGAACATATTTATTTAATGAATGATCACACGATCAAAACAACGGACGATAACGTGATGTCTACGGTTTAACACAAAACCAAATACGAACAAGATCCCACAAAGAATAGCTGAAAACAGCCTACCTAAGTATGGCTCCCAATCAGAGACAACGAGCAACAGCTGCCTCTGATTGGGAACCACCCTGACCAACATAGATCTATATGATCTAGAACAAAACCCAAAACATAGAAAACACAACATAGAAGCTACCCCGTGAAACTAAACATAGAAAATCCACACCCTGGCTCAACATTTCAGAGTCCCCAGAGCCAGGGCGTGACAGTACCCCCCCCCCAAAGGCGCGGACTCCGACCGCGCCAACAGAACACCACAGGGGAGGGACCGGGTGGGCACTCCGCCTTGGCGGCGGATCCGGCTCTGGGCATGATCCCCACTCCCTCTCTAACCCCCCACATTACCCCTGGTCCGGTCTGGCCCTGCTGGCCGGAGCTGGACTGAACACTGGTGGAGCGGATTGCTCTAGCTCCGACGTGAAGCATCTGACCGGTGCCGGACCAGCCACCGGTGGAACAGGCACGGGCCGTGCCGGACTGACGACGCACACCACTGGCTTGGTGTGGGGAGCAGGAGCGGGCCGAGCCGGGCTGACGAAGCGCACCACTGACTTGGTGCGGGGAGCAGGAACGGGCCGAGCCGGGCTGTCGAAGCGCACCCCTGACTTGGTGCGGGGAGCAGGAACGGGCCGAGCCGGGCTGTCGAAGCGCACCCCTGACTTGGTGCGGGGAGCAGGAATGGGCCGGACTGGGCTGGCGACGCGCACCGTAGACTTGGTGCGAGTGGCAGGAACAGGCCGGACCGTACTGGGAACACACACCACTGGCCCTACGTGGGGATCAGGAACAGGCCGGACCGGACTGGCAACACACGCCAGTACCTCTCGCCGTGCCTCTACAACCTCCTTCCCCCTGGTGACCAGTGACTCCCGTAACCTGGCGTCCTCCTGCTGCCCCGTCGTCCACGGCGTTAGCCCCCCCCTAAAAAATGTATGGGCTTCACTCCTACCCGTGGCCAAAGCCTCCATCCCTCTTGCCAGACTCGCACTCATCTCCTCCCACGTCCATCCTCTCTCCTCGTCACGCTGCTTGATCCAGTCGAGGTGGGATCTTCTGTCACGATCGTTGACACATGATGAAGCGGACCAAGGCGCAGCGTTGAGGGTGAACATATTTATTTAATGAATGATCACACGATCAAAACAACGGACGATAACGTGATGTCTACGGTTTAACACAAAACCAAATACGAACAAGATCCCACAAAGAATAGCTGAAAACAGCCTACCTAAGTATGGCTCCCAATCAGAGACAACGAGCAACAGCTGCCTCTGATTGGGAACCACCCTGACCAACATAGATCTATATGATCTAGAACAAAACCCAAAACATAGAAAACACAACATAGAAGCTACCCCGTGAAACTAAACATAGAAAATCCACACCCTGGCTCAACATTTCAGAGTCCCCAGAGCCAGGGCGTGACAGTAACGTGAAGTCCTCAGGCTAAACACAACACAACAACGTGACGTGAAGTCCTCAGGATAAACACAAAACAACACAACAACGTAACGTGAAGTCCTCAGGCTAAACACAAAACAATGTAACGTGAAGTCCTCAGGCTAAACACAAAACAACAAAACAACGTAACGTGAAGTCCTCAGGCTAAATACAACACAACAACAAAACAACGTAACGTGAAGTCCTCAGGCTAAACACAACACAACACAACAACGTAACGTGAAGTCCTCAGGCTAAACACAAAACAACAAAACAACGTAACGTGAAGTCCTCAGGCTAAACACAAAACAACGTAACGTGAAGTCCTCAGGCTAAACACAAAACAACAAAACAACGTAACGTGAAGTCCTCAGGCTAAACACAACACAAAGTAACGTGAAGTCCTCAGGCTAAACACAAAACAACGTAACGTGAAGTCCTCAGGCTAAACACAAAACAACGTAACGTGAAGTCCTCAGGCTAAACACAAAACATCGTAATGTGAAGTCCCCAGGCTAAACACAAAACAACGTAACGTGAAGTCCTCAGGCTAAACAAAAAACAACAAAACAACGTAACGTGAAGTCCTCAGGCTAAACACAAAACAACAAAACAACGTAACATGAAGTCCTCAGGCTAAACACAAAACAATGTAACGTGAAGTCCTCAGGCTAAACACAAAACAACAAAACAACATAACGTGTAGTCCTCAGGCTAAACACAAAACAACAAAACAACGTAACGTGAAGTCCTCAGGCTAAACACAAAACAACGTAACGTGAAGTCCTCAGGCTAAACACAACACAACACAACAAAACAACGTAACGTGAAGTCCTCAGGCTAAACACAAAACAACGTAACGTGAAGTCCTCAGGCTAAACACAACACAACACAACAACGTAACTTGAAGTCCTCAGGCTAAACACAAAACAACACAACAACGTAATGTGAAGTCCTCAGGCTAAACACAAAACAACAAAACAACGTAACGTGAAGTCCTCAGGCTAAATACAACACAACAACAAAACAACGTAACGTGAAGTCCTCAGGCTAAACACAACACAACACAACAACGTAACGTGAAGTCCTCAGGCTAAACACAAAACAACAAAACAACGTAACGTGAAGTCCTCAGGCTAAACACAAAACAACGTAACGTGAAGTCCTCAGGCTAAACACAAAACAACAAAACAACGTAACGTGAAGTCCTCAGGCTAAACACAACACAAAGTAACGTGAAGTCCTCAGGCTAAACACAAAACAACGTAACGTGAAGTCCTCAGGCTAAACACAAAACAACGTAACGTGAAGTCCTCAGGCTAAACACAAAACATTGTAATGTGAAGTCCCCAGGCTAAACACAAAACAACGTAACGTGAAGTCCTCAGGCTAAACAAAAAACAACAAAACAACGTAACGTGAAGTCCTCAGGCTAAACACAAAACAACAAAACAACGTAACATGAAGTCCTCAGGCTAAACACAAAACAATGTAACGTGAAGTCCTCAGGCTAAACACAAAACAACGTAACGTGAAGTCCTCAGGCTAAACACAAAACATCGTAATGTGAAGTCCCCAGGCTAAACACAAAACAACGTAACGTGAAGTCCTCAGGCTAAACAAAAAACAACAAAACAACGTAACGTGAAGTCCTCAGGCTAAACACAAAACAACAAAACAACGTAACATGAAGTCCTCAGGCTAAACACAAAACAATGTAACGTGAAGTCCTCAGGCTAAACACAAAACAACAAAACAACATAACGTGTAGTCCTCAGGCTAAACACAAAACAACAAAACAACGTAACGTGAAGTCCTCAGGCTAAACACAAAACAACGTAACGTGAAGTCCTCAGGCTAAACACAACACAACACAACAAAACAACGTAACGTGAAGTCCTCAGGCTAAACACAAAACAATGTAACGTGAAGTCCTCAGGCTAAACACAACACAACACAACAACGTAACTTGAAGTCCTCAGGCTAAACACAAAACAACACAACAACGTAATGTGAAGTCCTCAGGCTAAACACAAAACAACAAAACAACGTAACGTGAAGTCCTCAGGCTAAATACAACACAACAACAAAACAACGTAACGTGAAGTCCTCAGGCTAAACACAACACAACACAACAACGTAACGTGAAGTCCTCAGGCTAAACACAAAACAACAAAACAACGTAACGTGAAGTCCTCAGGCTAAACACAAAACAACGTAACGTGAAGTCCTCAGGCTAAACACAAAACAACAAAACAACGTAACGTGAAGTCCTCAGGCTAAACACAACACAAAGTAACGTGAAGTCCTCAGGCTAAACACAAAACAACGTAACGTGAAGTCCTCAGGCTAAACACAAAACAACGTAACGTGAAGTCCTCAGGCTAAACACAAAACATCGTAATGTGAAGTCCCCAGGCTAAACACAAAACAACGTAACGTGAAGTCCTCAGGCTAAACAAAAAACAACAAAACAACGTAACGTGAAGTCCTCAGGCTAAACACAAAACAACAAAACAACGTAACATGAAGTCCTCAGGCTAAACACAAAACAATGTAACGTGAAGTCCTCAGGCTAAACACAAAACAACAAAACAACATAACGTGTAGTCCTCAGGCTAAACACAAAACAACAAAACAACGTAACGTGAAGTCCTCAGGCTAAACACAAAACAACGTAACGTGAAGTCCTCAGGCTAAACACAACACAACACAACAAAACAACGTAACGTGAAGTCCTCAGGCTAAACACAAAACAACGTAACGTGAAGTCCTCAGGCTAAACACAACACAACACAACAACGTAACTTGAAGTCCTCAGGCTAAACACAAAACAACACAACAACATAATGTGAAGTCCTCAGGCTAAACACAAAACAACAAAACAACGTAACGTGAAGTCCTCAGGCTAAATACAACACAACAACAAAACAACGTAACGTGAAGTCCTCAGGCTAAACACAACACAACAACGTAACGTGAAGTCCTCAGGCTAAACACAAAACAACAAAACAACGTAACGTGAAGTCCTCAGGCTAAACACAAAACAACGTAACGTGAAGTCCTCAGGCTAAACACAAAACAACAAAACAACGTAACGTGAAGTCCTCAGGCTAAACACAACACAAAGTAACGTGAAGTCCTCAGGCTAAACACAAAACAACGTAACGTGAAGTCCTCAGGCTAAACACAAAACAACGTAACGTGAAGTCCTCAGGCTAAACACAAAACATTGTAATGTGAAGTCCCCAGGCTAAACACAAAACAACGTAACGTGAAGTCCTCAGGCTAAACAAAAAACAACAAAACAACGTAACGTGAAGTCCTCAGGCTAAACACAAAACAACAAAACAACGTAACATGAAGTCCTCAGGCTAAACACAAAACAATGTAACGTGAAGTCCTCAGGCTAAACACAAAACAACGTAACGTGAAGTCCTCAGGCTAAACACAAAACATCGTAATGTGAAGTCCCCAGGCTAAACACAAAACAACGTAACGTGAAGTCCTCAGGCTAAACAAAAAACAACAAAACAACGTAACGTGAAGTCCTCAGGCTAAACACAAAACAACAAAACAACGTAACATGAAGTCCTCAGGCTAAACACAAAACAATGTAACGTGAAGTCCTCAGGCTAAACACAAAACAACAAAACAACATAACGTGTAGTCCTCAGGCTAAACACAAAACAACAAAACAACGTAACGTGAAGTCCTCAGGCTAAACACAAAACAACGTAACGTGAAGTCCTCAGGCTAAACACAACACAACACAACAAAACAACGTAACGTGAAGTCCTCAGGCTAAACACAAAACAATGTAACGTGAAGTCCTCAGGCTAAACACAACACAACACAACAACGTAACTTGAAGTCCTCAGGCTAAACACAAAACAACACAACAACGTAATGTGAAGTCCTCAGGCTAAACACAAAACAACAAAACAACGTAACGTGAAGTCCTCAGGCTAAATACAACACAACAACAAAACAACGTAACGTGAAGTCCTCAGGCTAAACACAACACAACACAACAACGTAACGTGAAGTCCTCAGGCTAAACACAAAACAACAAAACAACGTAACGTGAAGTCCTCAGGCTAAACACAAAACAACGTAACGTGAAGTCCTCAGGCTAAACACAAAACAACAAAACAACGTAACGTGAAGTCCTCAGGCTAAACACAACACAAAGTAACGTGAAGTCCTCAGGCTAAACACAAAACAACGTAACGTGAAGTCCTCAGGCTAAACACAAAACAACGTAACGTGAAGTCCTCAGGCTAAACACAAAACATCGTAATGTGAAGTCCCCAGGCTAAACACAAAACAACGTAACGTGAAGTCCTCAGGCTAAACAAAAAACAACAAAACAACGTAACGTGAAGTCCTCAGGCTAAACACAAAACAACAAAACAACGTAACATGAAGTCCTCAGGCTAAACACAAAACAATGTAACGTGAAGTCCTCAGGCTAAACACAAAACAACAAAACAACATAACGTGTAGTCCTCAGGCTAAACACAAAACAACAAAACAACGTAACGTGAAGTCCTCAGGCTAAACACAAAACAACGTAACGTGAAGTCCTCAGGCTAAACACAACACAACACAACAAAACAACGTAACGTGAAGTCCTCAGGCTAAACACAAAACAACGTAACGTGAAGTCCTCAGGCTAAACACAACACAACACAACAACGTAACTTGAAGTCCTCAGGCTAAACAAAAAACAACACAACAACGTAATGTGAAGTCCTCAGGCTAAACACAAAACAACAAAACAACGTAACGTGTAGTCCTCAGGCTAAACACAACACAACAACAAAACAACGTAACGTGAAGTCCTCAGGCTAAACACAACACAACACAACACAACAACGTAACGTGAAGTCCTCAGGCTAAACACAAAACAACACAACAACGTAACGTGAAGTCCTCAGGCTAAACATAAAACAACAAAACGATATAACGTGAAGTCCTCAGGCTAAACACAAAACAACAAAACACCGTAACGTGAAGTCCTCAGGCTAAACACAACACAACAACAAAACAACGTAACGTGAAGTCCTCAGGCTAAACACAACACAACACAACAACGTAACGTGAAGTCCTCAGGCTAAACACAAAACAACAAAACAACGTAGCGTGAAGTCCTCAGGCTAAACACAAAACAACGTAACGTGAAGTCCTCAGGCTAAACACAAAACAACAAAACAACGTAACGTGAAGTCCTCAGGCTAAACACAACACAACGTAACGTGAAGTCCTCAGGCTAAACACAAAACAACGTAACGTGAAGTCCTCAGGCTAAACACAAAACAACGTAACGTGAAGTCCTCAGGCTAAACCCAAAACAACTTAAGGTGAAGTCCTCAGGCTAAACACAAAACAACGTAACGTGAAGTCCTCAGGCTAAACACAAAACAACAAAACGATATAACGTGAAGTCCTCAGGCTAAACACAAAACAACAAAACAACGTAACGTGAAGTCCTCAGGCTAAACACAACACAACAACAAAACAACTTAACGTGAAGTCCTCAGGCTAAACACAACACAACAACGTAACGTGAAGTCCTCAGGCTAAACACAAAACAACAAAACAACGTAACGTGAAGTCCTCAGGCTAAACACAAAGCAACGTAACGTGAAGTCCTCAGGCTAAACACAAAACAACAAAACAACGTAACGTGAAGTCCTCAGGCTAAACACAACACAACGTAACGTGAAGTCCTCAGGCTAAACACAAAACAACGTAACGTGAAGTCCTCAGGCTAAACCCAAAACAACTTAAGGTGAAGTCCTCAGGCTAAACACAAAACAACGTAACGTGAAGTCCTCAGGCTAAACACAAAACAACGTAACGTGAAGTCCTCAGGCTAAACACAAAACAACAAAACAACGTAATGTGAAGTCCTCAGGCTAAACACAAAACAACGTAACGTGAAGTCCTCAGGCTAAACACAAAACAACAAAACAACGTAATGTGAAGTCCTCAGGCTAAACACAAAACAACAAAACAACGTAACATGAAGTCCTTAGGCTAAACACAAAACAACGTAACGTGAAGTCCTCAGGCTAAACACAAAACAACAAAATAACGTAACGTGAAGTCCTCAGGCTAAACACAACACAACGTAACGTGAAGTCCTCAGGCTAAACACAAAACAACGTATCGTGAAGTCCTCAGGCTAAACACAAAACAACGTAACGTGAAGTCCTCAGGCTAAACACAAAACAACAAAACAACGTAACGTGAAGTCCTCAGGCTAAACACAAAACAACGTAACGTGAAGTCCTCAGGCTAAACACAACACAACACAACAAAACAACGTAACGTGAAGTCCTCAGGCTAAACACAACAACGTAACGTGAAGTCCTCAGGCTAAACACAACAACAACACAATGTCAAGCCCAGCCCAGCCCAGCCCAGCCCAGCCCAGCCCAGCCCAGCCCAGCCCAGCCCAGCCCAGCCCAGCCCAGCCCAGCCAAGCCCAGCCAAGCCCAGCCAAGCCCAGCCAAGCCCAGCCAAGCCCAGCCAAGCCCAGCCAAGCCAAGCCTCTACACAGAACAAGATCCCACAACTAATTATGCAAACAGGCGACTTAAGTATGATCCCCAATCAGAGACAACGAGCGACAGCTGCCTCTGATAGGGAATCACACCCGGCCAACATAGAAACACAATACCTAGATTCTACACATAGAAAACATAACATAGATACTAAACATGCACACCCTGACCAAACTAACTAGAGTTCTATAGGTCAGGGCGTGACATGAGAGCTTTGCATTAACCTATTAAATTTAGCTAAATGTAATCAAGAATGTAATCTACGTAATCCCCAAAATGTATCATGAGAGGGCCATAGCACTGAACAAAAATATAAATGCAACATGTAAAGTGTTGGTCCCATGTTTCATGAGCTGAAATAAAAGATCCCAGAAATGTTCCATACGCACAAAAAGCTTATTTCTCTCAAATGTTGTGTACGAATGTCACGCCCTGGCTCTGGGGACACTTGTATGTTGAGCCAGGGTGTGCGTTTCATTTGTTTATCTAGTAGTTGCATTTCTATGTTGGCCAGATTGGTTCCCAATCAGAGGCAACGAGTGTCAGCTGGTGCTGGTTGTCTCTGATTGGGAACCATATTTATACAGGCTGTTTTCCCACAGTTGTTGTGGGATCTTGTTCTAGTTGGTTTGTGTTAGACCGTTGACTGTCACGTTATCGTTTTTGTTCGTGTTATCCTTCAGAGTTAATAAATATGTTTGCATTCAACGCTGCGCATTGGTCCTCTGTTCCCGACGATCGTGACAGAAGATCCCACCAAAACTGGACCAAGCAGCGTGTCCAGGAGCCATCGCCAGGGGAATCGCTAGCAGATCTCCGTGGCAGCCTCGACTGGGTCAAGCCTAGTGAAAAGCAGAGAGGGTGGACTTGGGAACAGTGGAGGAAGAGTCTCGACTGGGTCAAGCCAAATGAAGAGCAGAATGGCTGGAGTTGGAAGCAGAAGAGTGAGAGTTGGGCGAGAACTATAGAGGCCTGGCCCACGGGGAGGAGAGACCCCCAGAATTTTTTTAGGGGGGGGGATCACGCCATGGACGACGGGGCAGCAGGAGGCCGCGATGGAGCGGTCCAGCGGGTGTGCAGAGGAGGCCGCCAGGTTAAGGGGGCCACTGGTCACAGAGGAGAGGGAAAGTGTGGAGGCACGGCGAGAGGTACTGGGGTGTGTTACCAGTCCGGTCCGGCCCGTTCCTGATCCCTGCATAGGGCCAGTGGTGTGTGTCCCCAGTACGGTCCGGCCTGTTCCTGTTCCTCGCATCGAGCCTGTGGTGCGCGTCGCCAGCCCGGCCCGGCCTGTTCCTGCTCCCCGCACCGAGCCTATGGTGCGCGTCGCCAGCCCGGCCCTGCCTGTTCCTGCTCCCCGCACCGAGCCTATGGTGCGCGTCGCCAGCCCGGCCCGGCCTGTTCCTGCTCCCCGCACCGAGCCTATGGTGCGCGTCGCCAGCCCGGTCCGGCCTGCTCCTGCTCCCCACACCAAGCCAGTGGTGTGCGTCGTCAGTCCGGCACGGCCCGTGCCTGTTCCCCACACCAAGCCAGTGGTGTGCGTCGCCAGCCCGGTCCGGCCCGCTCCTGCTCCCCACACCAAGCCAGTGGTGTGCGTCGTCAGTCCGGCACGGCCCGTGCCTGTTCCCCACACCAAGCCAGTGGTGTGCGTCGCCAGCCCGGTCCGGTCCGCTCCTGCTCCCCACACCAAGCCAGTGGTGTGCGTCGCCAGTCCGGTCCGGCCCGCTCCTGCTCCCCGCACCAAGCCTATGGTACGCGTCGTCAGTCCGGCACGGCCCGTGCCTGTTCCACCGGTGCCTGGTCCGGCACCGGTCAGCTGCTTCACGCCGGAGCTAGAGCAATCCGCTCCACCAGTGTGCAGTCCAGCTCCGGTCAGCGGGGCCAGACCGGACCAGGGGTACTTTGGGGGGTTGGAGAGGGAGTGGGGATCAGGCCCGGAGCCGGATCCGCCGCCAAGGCGGAGTGCCTACCCGGTCCCTCCCCTGTGGTATTTAGTTGACGCGGTCGGAGTCCACGCCTTTAGGGGGGGGTACTGTCACGCCCTGGCTCTGGGGACACTTGTATGTTGAGCCAGGGTGTGCGTTTCATTTGTTTATCTAGTAGTTGCATTTCTATGTTGGCCAGATTGGTTCCCAATCAGAGGCAACGAGTGTCAGCTGGTGCTGGTTGTCTCTGATTGGGAACCATATTTATACAGGCTGTTTTCCCACAGTTGTTGTGGGATCTTGTTCTAGTTGGTTTGTGTTAGACCGTTGACTGTCACGTTATCGTTTTTGTTCGTGTTATCCTTCAGAGTTAATAAATATGTTTGCATTCAACGCTGCGCATTGGTCCTCTGTTCCCGACGATCGTGACAACGAATTTGTTTGCATCCCTGTTAGTGAGCAATTCTCCTTTGCCAAGATAATCCATCCACCTGATAGGTGTGGCATTTCAAGAAGCTGATTAAACAGCATGATCATTACACAGGTGCACCTTGTGCTGGGGACAATAAAAGGCTAATCTCTAAAATGTGCGGTATTGTCACACAACACAATGCCACAGACGTCTCACATTTTGAGGGAGCGTGCAATTGGCATGCTGACTGCAGGAATCTCCACCAGATCTGTTGCCAGAGAATTTGATGTTAATTTCTCTACCAACATCGTTTTACAGATCTTGTCCATCTATGACAAACATGAAGTGTTTTTTGTTTTTTGTTTAAAATCTATGAATTATTTTAGATGACTGGCTATAAATCGATCTCTGAATGTGCTACAGCGACGAAACCACTCTCTCCTGCTGCATTATGATGTAAGGATTCCAGACGTTGTTAGTGGCTGTGACGTAGGATTGATGGACAGTCGGAAGAGCGAATGAAATGGTAGGAGGAACATCCCAGCTTCAAGTGGTGTCAGATTTCACATCCTGCTTCAGACAGGCAGAATATATACTCCTGTGTCCATGAGAATCAGGGCTACTGCTCAATGCAAGCCATTTCGATCTATGGTGTCCACATATCGATTTATATGTGAAAATGTCTGTCGGAACCAGTACCAGAACAACGCAGGTCTCCAAAACAGCTGACTTTACATCTAAGAGGTTTTAAACAAAACATTGATCGTTGAGTTTTGATGAAATGAGTGGGAAATGCCTCTATTTATGACGGTAGTAATTACAACACATGTGCCTTGATGTGCAATTGAGAGCATTTTGGGTCAATTTGAGCAAATTAAAGGCATTCACTCCAGTGCAGTACAGTCTGCAGATTTGTTTGAGTTAAACAAGACATTGACAGTTGAGTTTACTAAATGATTAAAATTGCTTCTTTGTACTAGGTGGAATTAGACTGGAGTTACGCTACAATAAACAGTGCAGTCCTCTGTCGGCTCAGCCTGCACCATCCACCCCTAAACAAATAGCCCGGCCCACCTCAGAAATAGCTCAAGTGTGCCATGAGCTTAGTAAACATCTTCAGTAGACTCAGTAGTCCTTTTTGCCACACAGACAGGAAGTGACCTAGAGGAAGTGATAGTAGGGGTGACGCAGGTGAAAAATAGAACCTGATCAGATCCTAGACCCATCCCTTGCTGCTATCCCTAGGCAGGCTGTTCTGATATTGCTGACCTACCCTGTCCAAAATATAACTGTTTTGAGATAAGGCATTCAAGGAAGCCAAATAATATGAATCATGAGGTAGTTCTGACTAACTAAACAAACACCACCTTCAATCTCTCAAATCCTACCGCAATGGCATTCCTGGCCCATAACTGTCCCTCTCCTAGCCTGATTTTAACTCCATACCCTTGAACCATCTACTGTTAACTATCTTTAACTTACCATCTCCAGCAACCCCCATAAACCATACATCTCTGTGTCTCTATCCCTCTTCCTTCAGTCCAGACACTCTCTAATGGAGTTATGGAGAGGGGCCAAATGAGATGAGTCAGGGCACTGGACCAGACAATACGGATCCACACCGGCATTCCTTACATATTGGCTGACCATCCAGGAGTGGGGCTGACCGCAGCCTCCTCCAGCTGGCTCATAGGCATTCCACCTGGAGCCATGTGAGAGAGTGATTGAGAGCAAGTGAACAATAGAGTTACTGATGACACAGTATTCTACCTAACATTAAAAAAAGTGACAAAAAATGTCAAAATAAGAGGTTTAGAACATAATGGTCGTCATGCCAGTCTGCTGGTATTTCATCCAACAAACAGTAAACTGTGTTACTAGGGCTTGTATAATTCAGTCCAGCGTGTAATGAGAGCAGTCATTACAGGGGAGCTGCTTCTTCTCTTCACAGACCATGACCATTGTAGTCTCAGTCAGTTTTTTTTTTTTTTCATCTTCAGTTTGGAATCCCATGTTGCCTTTAAAGAGAAGGGAACCACCATAAAAGACTTCAGGTAAATGGAAAATCATATTCTCTTGTGCCACTTAAGATCCAGGTAGAAACTTTTTCACAAGACTTTCAACTGTATAGGTTGAAACAACTGCAGGTAAACACTGAAACCCATTGACCCACAGGTAGAGATCAGGCTGTTCCTGTGAACTCCATACAGAAGCAGCTTATTGCTGCCTGTCTCAAGCCTGGCTGATTGAAAGGGCACTGAAACAACTTCATTCAGGTCTGATTAAAATCGCATTCTGAGGAGGGACAATGAGAGCACTGATCTTGGTCCAGCTGAAACAGAGAAGATTTTTTCTCTGACTCTGACCCTCAGACTGCGAAACACTCTACAACTCAATCTCAGACTCACTCAGACACTTTCACAAACTGTAGGCCAAAATGAAAACATGACACTTTCTGTAGCCTAATCTTATCCAGGACACGCATACTAACCCTATGTTCTTATCTGACATACACACAATCCAGAATAGAATAGGCTACCTCAAATATTCCTCTTATTCTCTATCACCCTTTTTCTTAACATATAATATATATTTTATGAGACGAGACCTTAACATCACTTATGCAATGATTATCACTGTAACCATGCGATTATTGCTCTCCGCTCACTGAGGTGAGTCAAACAGCTGCTTGTTCTTTGTTGTTTATGCTGTAAGGGGCTCCCAGCAGCGAGAGACACATCTCTGGTCTCCACAGGTCTAAGCTACAGCCTGCTGAACAATTTAACTCCTGTAGTCTTCATTTTAAACACATTTAAACATGGCTCTGTATTCACGGGCTGACCTGTCTGCCTGTGCTCCATGTGTCGCAGGGGTGTCCCACAGCCTCAGTGAAGGGAGAGTGTGTGTCGAGTGTATCTCTGCTTGGTTTCATGGAGGTGTTGACACAGCCTTTCCTGGAGGTGCTGAGTGACAGGTGGCTGTAAAGTGTGGAGAAGGCTCAAGTGATTGTAGAAGTTGCGCTTTGGCACAGACCTAATATCAGCTTACGTTCCCCAATTCCTAACTTTAACATTGAAGGGGATGCAAAACTGACCTTAGACCAGTGTCTTGGAGAAGCTCATTTCTTGAGGGAAACTGGAAGTACTTATATGTAGGGCTCCTGAAAACAAACGTTTTAATGAAATCAGTTGCATGATGAGGTCGTTTTAATGGACAACCTTGCTTTGTAATTACTGATAGATTTTTTCTCTACAGTAGTTTTATATTTGTGTCTCTGCTGGACTCCCTACCCTTCCCTACCCAACTGAAGTGATTAAAGGACAGTGGTTACAGTGACTCCCTCTGTACTGGGATAGCTGCATCTCAAATCAAATCAAATCAAAATGTATTTGTCACATGTGCCGAATACAACAGGGCCTTACTGTGAAAGGCTTACTTACAAGCCCTTGATGAACAATGCAGTTTTAAGAAAATAGAGTTAAGAAAATATTTACTAAATAAACTAAATAAACACAATAAAATAACAATAATGAGGCAATATATATATATATATATATATATATATATATATATATATATATATATATATATATATATATATATAATGTACTGGTAGCGAGTCAATGTGCGGGGTTACAGGTTAGTCTAGGTAATTGAGGTAATTTGTACATGTAGGTAGGGGTAGAGTGACTATGCATACATAATAAACAGCAAGTAGCAGCAGTGTACTTGCTTGGGGGGGGTCAATGCAAATAGTTCGGATGGCCATTTGATTAATTGTTCAGCAGTCTTATGGCTTGGGGGTAGAAGCTGTTAAGGAGCCTTTTGGACCTAGACTTGGCACTCCGGTACTGCTTGCTGTGTGGTAGCAGAGACAACAGTCTATGGACTTGGGTGACTGGAGTCTTTGACAATGTTTTGGGCCTTCCTCTGACACCACCTAGTATAGAGGTCCTGGATGGCAGGAAGCTTGGCCCCAGTGATGTACTGGGCCGTACGCACTACCATCTGTAGCGCCTTACGGTCGGATGGCGAGCAGTTGCCATACCAGGCGGTGATGCAACCAGTCAGGATGCTCTCGATGGTGCAGCGCTAGAACGTTTTGAGGATCTGGGGACCCATGCCAAATCTTTTCAGTCTCCTGAGGGGGAATAGGCAATGTCGTGCCCTCTTCATGACTGTATTGGTGTGTTTGGACCATGATAGTTTGTTGGTGATGTGGACACCAAGGAACTTGAAGCTCTCGACCCGCTCCACTACAGCCCCGTTGATGTGAAGGGGGCGGGTTCGGCCCTCCTTTTCCTGTAGTCCACGATCAGTTCCTTTGTCTTACTCACGTTGAGGGAGAGGTTGTTGTCCTGGCACCACACTGCCAGGTCTCTGACCTCCTCCCTATAGGCTGCCTCATCGTTGTCGGTGATCAGGCCTACCACTGTTGTGTCATCAGCAAACTTAATGATGGTGTTGGAGGCGTGCTTGGCTACCCAGTTGTGGGTGAACGGGGAGTTCAGGAAGGGACTAAGCATGCACCCCTGAGGGGCCCCCGTGTAGAGGATCAGCGTGGTAGATTGTAAGGGTTGGTGTGAGGTTTGACCCAGGTGCGGTGCAGGATAGACAGTAGGCAGAGATGGTGAAACAAGGATCTTTACTGGTGGTCCCAAAACCAGGATACAAAATAACAGACTTCTGTTTCGCATCGAGAAACTAGCAGAGGCAAGGGAACACAGGGAAGTGAAGACATAAATACACACGTGAACTAGATAGACACAGTTGACTCCAATAGGATAATGATTAGTCCAGACTGTGAGTGAGGAGGTGCCTAAGGTTGTCGGAGGATGACACCTAGTGGGTTGCTCCGGAACTGCAACCCCCTCCTGTAACAGTTCTTATTACTGTCTGCGTGATGAACTGAGAACCCATCTGGCTGGACCGATTTCGACAGAATATCCCAAGAGAACCATGTTTCCATGAAACAGAGTATGTTATAGGCCTTGATGTCTCTCTGGAAAGAAATCCTTGCCCGTAGTTCATCGACTTTGTTAACCAACGATTGAACATTAGCGAGTAGGATACTTGGAAGTGGTGGGTGGTGTGCGCGCCTCCTAAGTCGAACTAGCAGGCCGCTCCGAGTGCCTCTCCTCCGCCGGCGATGTTTTGGGTCAGCCGCTGGAATCAGTTCAGTTGCCCTGGAGAGAGCAAACAAAGGATCTACTTCGGGAAAGTCGTATTCCTGGTCGTAATGCTGGCGAGTTACCGCCGCTCTGATATTCAATAGTTTTTCCCGGCTGTATGTAACGATGCAAACATTTTCTGAGCTAATAATGTAAAAAATTATACATGAAAAAAACAAAATAGTGCAAAGTTTCCTTAGAGCTAGTCGCGAGGCCGCCATCTTCGTTGGTGCCAGGATTCTTACTTACCAAAATGAACGGCTGGGATGGATCAGGATGCCCTAGGACCGGGGCCGATTTAAAGTGCAGATTAAGCGCATCAAATGCGTTCCCCGCTTCCGGGGTCCAGGCAAAGGAGCACAGCTCATCTGGGTGAGGGCTGTCAGGGGAGATAAAATTACGAATAAATCGCCTATAGAAATTAGCGAACCCCAAAAAACGTTGTAGTTGCTTGAGGGATGAGGGCTGGGGCCAATCCAGTACCGTGCTGACCTTGGCTGGGTCCATCCGTAGGTCTGCCTGGGTGACAATGAACCCCAGGAAGGAGACTGTCTCTGTGTGGAATACGCACTTCTCCACCTTGACGTAGAACTGGTGATGGAGAAGGCGTTGGAGGACCTGCCGAACGTGCTGCTGGTGTTCACTCATGTCCTTTGAAAATATTAGGATGTCATCCAAATACACGAAGACGCTGTAGTCGAGGAGGTCCCGGAACACCGCAGGCAGGTTGGCTAGACGGAACGGCATGACTTGGTACTCGTAATGCCCACTGGGTGTGTTAAAAGCCGTCTTCCATTCGTCCCCTTCAAGAATCCTCATCAGGTTGTAGGAATTTCGTAAGTCCAGCTTGGTGAAGACCCGGGCACCTTGCAATGACTCAAATGCCGTCGTCATCAGGGGGAGTGGGTAGCGGTTCTTAACCGTGATGTCGTTGAGCGCCCGGTAATAATGCACAGAAGAAGCCTGCACCCGCGGGTGAGGTAGAGGGACGGATGTTACCCTCAACGAGTGCCTCGTCGATATACTCCCTCATGGCCAGCGTCTCTGGCCAGGACAAGGAAAACAGTCGCCCTCGTGTGGGCATGGTGCCCGGCAGGAGATCGATAGTGCAGTCGTATGGCCTGTGAGGAGGTAGGCCCTTGGCATGCCTCTTACTAAACACCTCCCCCAGATCCCAATACTCCCGGGGAATGCCTGCCTGGTCTGGGCCGGTGACGGAGTCTGTAGCCGCCGTCCTCCCGGTGGCAACCACTGCTAGGGCGGTAGGCGGTTCGGAGTGCGGGACCTGGGGAAGAGGTGAGGACTGGTAGGTGGTCTAAGACGGTGATTTGGGCTGATGAGTGGTCGGTGGAGACCGGAACAGGACAGAGGCGGAGCCTCCCTCCAAGGTGAGCTGCCCCGTGGACCAGTCTATCTGGGGTTTGTGGGCGACCAGCCAGGGGTGCCCGAGGACGAGGGGACACTCCGGAGAGTTCACAATGAAAAATTGCATATCCTCTCATAGCCCCCCTGCCACCCAGACACGCATGGGGACAGTGTGACGGGTGATGAAGCCCGACCCCAACGGCTGGCCGTCCAGGCCCATGACCGGAACCGGCTCGGAGAGGGAGAGTAACGGAACACTCCACCCTTGGGCCAGCCCCGCGTCCATCAGGTTTCCAGCGGCCTGAATACACCAGTGCATGCGCCCGACGCGCAGCGCGGGCCCACTGAACCCTGACGGGGAGAAAAGTCCGGGAGTCTCTGGGGTTGGGATTTTGGTTCCAGCTCGCTAGCACCCCTCCCGAAATTAGCGAGCCCTCCCATTTCCCGGCTTCTCCTGGCATGAGTCGCAGTGGTAACCCGTCTGGCCGCAGTACAGGAAACGTCCCTGGCACAGAAGTCTCTGCTTCTCCATCCTGGACAAGTGCGCCTTGCGTCATCCCTCTCTCGTGCACCCTCTCACGACACCGATTGTCCACCCGCACTGAGAGATCGATGAGGCCGTCCAGTCGCTCAGGCAGCTCCCTGAAGGAGAGTTCGTCCTTCATCCCCTCCGATAGCCCCTGCGCGTAAAGGATGACCAGGGCGGCCTCCTTCCATCCTGCCTCTTGAGCCCGGGTCTGGAACTTCACGGAGTAGTCCGCCACCAAACTGTCACCCACCCGAGAGGTGTCGAACACCTTGCGTAGCTCCCGGGTGAATTGGTAGGAGTCGGATTATGCCAGAGTTTGGTTCTCCCACATCGCGGTAGCCCAGGAAAGGGCCCGACCCATCAACAGAGTGATAATGTAGGCCACCTGGCCCTGCTCCGTCGGGAAGGAGGAGTGTTGTAGGCTGAATACCAGGGAACACTGGGTGAGGAATTCCCTGCAGCCCTCTGGATGTCCGTCGTACCTCTCCGGAGGTGGCAGGTGGGGTTCCCGCAATGTTGCAGGTGAGACTGGAGACGCTTGTTACCGGGGCTGGTCAGGAGTCCACCCGGCATTGCACGGCGATCGTTAGCTGGCGGAGATTCTCGTTGATCTGCTGCAGGCTGTGGTCATGCTGGTTCAGAATAGCTCCCTGCATTGCCAAAGCGTTACGATACTGTGCTGCCTCCGCTGGGTCCATATTGGCTCTGTTTTCTGTAAGGGTTGGTTTAAGGTGTGACCCAGATGTGGTGCAGAATAGACAGTAGGCAGAAGGCATTGATGGTGAAACAAGGATCTTTACTGGTGGTCCCAAAACCAGGATACAAAATATCGGAGGAGCAAATTGGTCTCCAAAAACAGGCTGACAGCAAACATAAGAAATACTAACTACGACTGAAAACAACATTGAAACAGGGAGAACACTGTACACACGTGTCGCGATCAGACACTGAGTAGTACTGTTTGGCATCGAGAAACTAGCAGAGGAAACAGAGCAAGGGAACACAGGGAAGTGAGGGCATAAATACACAGGTGAACAGGTAGACACAGGTGACACCAATAGGATAATGACTAGTCCAGACTGTGAGTGAGAAGGTGCCTAAGGTTGTTGGAGGATGACACCTAGTGGGTCACTCCGGAACTACGACCCCCTCCTGTAACAGCAGCGACCCCCTCCTGTGTTGTTGCCTACCCTTACCACCTGGGGGCGGCCCGTCAGGAAGAACAGGATCCAGTTGCAGAGGGAGGTGTTTAGTCCCAGGGTCCTTAGATTAGTGATGAGCTTTGTAGGCACTATGGTGTTGAACACTGAGCTGTAGTCAACGAACAGCATTCTCACATAGGGGTTCCTTTTGTCCAGGTGGGAAAGGGCAGTGTGGAGTGCAGTTGAGATTGTGTCATCTGTGGATCTGTTGGGGCAGTATGCAAATTGGAGTGGGCCTAGGGTTTCCGGAATGATGGTGTTGATGTGAGCCATGACCAGCCTTTCAAAGCACTTCATGGCTACCGACGTGAGTGCTATGGGGCGGAAGTCATTTAGGCAGGTTACCTTTGCGTTCTTGGGCACAGGGACTATGGTGGTCTGCTTGAAACATGTAGGTATTACAGACTCAGTCAGGGAGAGGTTGAAAATGTCAGTGAAGAAACTTGCCAGTTGGTCCGTGCATGCTCTGAGTACACATCCTGGTAATCCATCTGGCCCCGCGGCCTTGTGAATGTTGATCTGTTTAAAGATCTTGCTCACATCGGCTACGGAGAGCGTGAGCACACAGTTGTCTGGAACAGCTGGTGTTCTCATGCATGCTTCAGTGTTGCGTGCCTCGAAGCGAGCATAAAATGAATTTAGCCCGTCTGTTAGGATTGCATCACTGCGCAGCTCGGGGCTGGGTTTCCCTTTGTAGTCCGTAATAGTTTGCAAGCCCTGCCACATCCGACGAGCTTCAGAGCCGGTGTAGTAGGATTCAATCTATGTCCTGTATTGACGCTTTGTGTTACACCTTCTGGAGCGACCCACAAGGTGTCATCCTCCAACAACCATAGGCACCTCCTCACTCACATTCAGGACAAATTATCTGCCTATTGTTGTCACCTTTGTCTATCTGATTCACCTGTGTATTTATGCCCTCACTTCCCTGTGTTCCCTTGCTCAGTTTTCTCTGCTAGTTCCTTGATGTCAAGTAGTACGTATCAGTGTCTGATCACGAGACGGAAGTACAGGTACTCGAGAAGTGTTCTCCCTGTGGCTTTGTGGTTTTCAGTCATAGTTAGTGTTTTGTATTGTTTGCTGTCAGCCTGTTTTTTGGAGACCAATGTGCTCCTCATTTGTTTTCGTGAATAGTCCGTTGTTTTGTATCCTGACTTTTGGACCACCAGTAAAGATCCTTGTTTCACCATCCTTGCCTACTGCCTACTGTTTATCCTGCACCGCACCTGGGTCACACGTCACACCAACCCTTACAGCTTTGCCTGTTTGATGGTTCATCTGAGGGCATAGCGGGATGTTTTATAAGCTTCTGGATTAGTGTCCCGCTCCTGCTTTAGTTTTTGCTTGTAAGCAGGAATCAGGAGGATAGAATTATGGTCAGATTTGCCAAAATGGAGGGCGAGGGAGAACTTGTACGCGTCTCTGTGTGTGAAGTAATGGTAGTCTATAGTTTTTTCCCTCTGGTCGCACATGTGACATGCTGGTAGAAATTAGGTAAAACGGATTTAAGTTTGCCTGCATTAAAGTCCCCGGCCACTAGGAGTGCTGCTTCTGGATGAGCATTTCCTTGTTTGCTTATGGCCTTATACAGCTCGTTGAGTACGGTCTTAGTGCCATTATCGGTTTGTGGTGGGAAATAGACAGCTACGAAAAATATAGATGAAAACTCTCTTGGTAGGTAGTGTGGTCTACAGCTTATCATGAGGTACTCCACCTCAGGCGAGCAATACCTTGAGACTTCCTTAATATTAGACATCGCTCATCAGCTGTTATTGACAAATAGACAAACACCACCACCCGTCGTCTTACCGGAGATAGCTGTTCTGTCTTGCCGATGCACGGAAAACCCAGCCAAATGTATATTATCCGTGTCGTCGTTCAGCCACGACTCTGTGAAACATAAGATATTACCGTTTTTAATGTCCCGTTGGTAGGATAGTCTCAGATGGAACTCATCCAGTTTATTCTCCAGTGATTGCACGTTGGCCAATAGAACGGATGGCAGAGGCGGGTTACCCACTCGCCGACGAATTCTCATGTATTAATTATCCTGGTGACCAGTATGGACACGTTTGTATTTCTAGCATATAAAGCACATCCAGCTGACACCGTGACCATTACACAGTATACTTAATAGAGTGACAGAGATTACCCACCAACATAAAATGACTCTTTGCTAGTGTTATTTAGAGCATTCTTGAACCCTCCCTCTTAGAGTTAGAATGCAACTGTTCTCATAGCATCAGACATGTTTTATTAAAGACAGAGTCACTTTAGTCAGAGCACTGTAACTGTTCTGATTGATGAGCACAGTGAGCCAGACCTCAGTGCTACACTAACAGTGGGAACCCAGCCCATAGTGAGTAAGTGTCCAATGGCCACAGTCATCATGTGATGAATGGGCTTTCTAATGTTCAAACCTTGGCACAACTCAAAAAAGAGGCAGCCACATGTTAACTGGGCAGAGCCAAGAGAGAGGTCACTCAGTGCACAACCAGCTGTCGCATCATCTGCCATCTGAGTTGAGGAATCATGTAACCAAACAGAAACAGATTACCATTTAAAATGTGTAATATAAAAGTTATAACTAAAACAGAAGTCAATGGCCCCAAAGCCATGCTACTGGGGGACAATATATAAATCCTCTTAGATGTTAAGTTCCCCAGATGGGCGACTTTGAGCTGTTCTGGACCGGTTCCGACTGACATTTTGGTGAACAAAGCGCTCTGTGAATGCCGCAGGGTCCTGTGCCTTATAATGCCAGAAAGTCCCATCTGTCTGCTCTCCCCTTTCACTCTCTTAGCTGACTTGAAGTGTCAGGTTTCACACCCCACATTTGCAAAGGGAGTGATGTGTCACATTTTCTGGCCTATCTAAACAAATTAGTGAGCCCAGCCTGTGAGATGGCATACAGTATGAACGGTGTCAGTCTAGCGAGTCCAGCCTTTGTGGTTTCATCTTGCTGTGATATTCTCAGCCAGATTTAGAGCTCTCAAAATGAAAAAATACTAAAGAATTTTATATAATTGAAACAATATTTTCTCTCAGCCTCATGACAAAATGTGTAGAATAGCATTATAAAACTGCTGGTGTGTGTGTGTGTGTGTGGGGGGGTATCTTTTGGGTATCTGTACTTTACTTTACTATTTATATTTTGACTACTTTTACTTTTAGTCCACTACATTCCTTAAGAAAATAATGTACTTTTTACCCCATACATTTTCCCTGACACCCAAAAGTACAAGTTACATTTCGAATGCTTAGCAGGACAGAACATTTTTCCAAATCAACCACGTATCAAGAGAACATCACTCGTCATCCCTACTGCCTCTGATCTGGCAAACTCACTAAACACAAATGCTTCATTTGTAAATTATGTCTGAGTGTTGGAGTGTGCCCCTGGCTATCCGTAAAATAATAAAACAAGAAAATGGTGCTGTCTGGTTTGCTTAATATAAGGAATGTGAAATTATTCATACTTTTACTTTTGATACTTAAGTATATTGTTATCACGTTTCAGGAGAAGACCCAGATGCAGACAGTGCCGAAGTAACAAACGTTTATTACAAAAACAGGGGGCAGACAAATGACAGGTCAAGGGCAGGCAGAGGTCAGTAATCCAGATCAGAGTCCAAAAGGTACAGAACAGCAGGCAGGCTCATGGCAGGCAGAATGGTCAAAACCGGGAAAACTAGAAAACAGGAACTAGAGAAAGACAGGAGAAAGGGGAAAACCGCTGGTAGGCTTGACGAAACAAAACGAACTGGCAACAGACGAACAGAGAACACAGGTTAATACACTGGGGATAATGGGGAAGATGGGCGACACCTGGAGGGGGGTGGAGACAATCACAAAGACAGGTGAAACAGATCAGGGTGTGACAATTGTAGCAATTACATTTACTTTTGATACTTAAGTATATTTAAAACCAAATACTTTTAGACATTTACTCAAGTCGTATTTTACTGGGTGACTCACTTTTATTTGAGTCATTTTCTATGAAGATATATTTACTTTTACTCAAGTATGACAATTGAGTACTTTTTCCACTGCTGGCAGGGTGTAATTGATATTCAGACTCCTTGGCCAAATGTTTACTTTTACACAGTAGAAAAATGCATTTCCATTTAATGGAAACTTCCAAACCTAATAGATTTTGAAAGCTTCTGCGCACACACAGTAAAGACAGCCAAAAGCTACAGAATAAACCATCAAAATCTAAATAATGTGCAGGTACTGTTTGAGCTGGATTGCTTAAAATAAATGTTTAACATGGTAACCAAATTGCAAATGAAAGATTATTGAGTTTCTAAAAAAGGAAAAAGGAAAACCACAGATGTCGTCAAGAAGAGATGGGTTTACTTCTGAGGTTACGTCCTGTACTTAAGGCGGCAGAAGGGCCAAATGAATACTGAGTGTCACGCTCTGGCTCCGGGACTGTGTATTTTGAGCCAGGGTGTGTTCATTTGGTTGTGTTTGGTATTGGTTGTGTTGTATTTGGTTGTGTTTCCTTGTTTGGTCGTGTGACTCCCAATCAGTGGTAACGAGTGTCAGCTGTCGGCTCGTTATCTCTGATTGGGAGCCATATTTAAACTGTCAGTGTTCACCTTAGTGTTGTGGGTTTTTGTTCCGTATCAGTCATTGTAACTGAGGACTTCACGATTCGTCTTTGTTTGTTGTTTTGCATTGAGTACTTTAAGTAAATAAAGTCATGTTCGTATCGCACGCTGCGCCTTGGTCCACTCACTTAGTAGACGTTCGTGACAGAAAAACCCACCGTACCAGGACCAAGCAGCGTGTCCAGGAGCCAAGGGTCTGGACATGGGAGGAGATTTTGGATGGTAAAGGGTCTTGGACTTGGGAGGAAATCCTGGATGGGATGGATCGCCGGCCATGGAGTAAAACAGTGGAGAGGCGACTGAGAGAGGAGCAACGGCGTCAGCAGGGCCATCGTCGGAAGGACGAGAGGCAACCCCAAAAAGTTTTTGGGGGGGGCACATGGCTTGGGCGGCTGGGCAGCAGGAGGCTGCCACAGGGAGACGTGGAGAGAAGGCTACCGGATTACGGGAGCCATTGGCGAGTAGAGGGAGGGAAGTAGTTGAGGCACGGCGTGAGAGACTGAGGTGTGTTACCAGTCCGGTCCGGCCCGTTCCTGATCCCCGGTTAAGGCCAGTGGTGTGTGTTCCCAGTACGGACCGGCCTGTTCCTACTCCACGCACCAAGCCCACGGTGTGCGTCGCCAGTCCAGCCCGGCCGGTTCCTGTTCCACGCACTAAGCCTGCGGTGTGCGTCGCCAGCCCTGCCCGGACGGTTCCTGCTCCACGCACTAGGTTTACGGTGTGCGTCGCCAGCCCAGCCCGGCCTGTTCCTGCTCCACGCACAAAGCCTACGGTGTGCGTCGCCAGCCCAGCCCGGCCTGTTCCTGCTCCACGCACAAAGCCTACGGTGTGCGTCGCCAGCCCAGCCCGGCCTGTCCCTGCTCCACGCACAAAGCCTACGGTGTGCGTCGCCAGCCCGACCCGGCCTGTTCCTGCTCCACGCACAAAGCCTACGGTGTGCGTTGCCAGCCCAGCCCGGCCTGTCCCTGCTCCACGCACAAAGCCTACGGTGTGCGTCGCCAGCCCAGCCCGGCCTGTTCCTGCTCCACGCACAAAGCCTACGGTGTGCGTCGCCAGCCCAGCCCGGCCTGTTCCTGCTCCACGCACAAAGCCTACGGTGTGCGTCGCCAGCCCAGCCCGGCCTGTCCCTGCTCCACGCACAAAGCCTACGGTGTGCGTCGCCAGCCCAGCCCGGCCTGTTCCTGCTCCACGCACAAAGCCTACGGTGTGCGTCGCCAGCCCAGCCCGGCCTGTCCCTGCTCCACGCACAAAGCCTACGGTGTGCGTCGCCAGCCCGACCCGGCCTGTTCCTGCTCCACGCACAAAGCCTACGGTGTGCGTCGCCAGCCCGACCCGGCCTGTTCCTGCTCCACGCACAAAGCCTACGGTGTGCGTCGCCAGCCCAGCCCGGCCTGTCCCTGCTCTACGCACAAAGCCTACGGTGTGCGTCGTCGGCCTGGTCCAGCCCGTTCCTGCTACTCGCACCAAGCCAAGGGTGCGAGTCGTCAGCCTGGTCCAGCCCGTTCCTGCTACTCGCACCAAGCCAGGGGTACGAGTCGTCGGCCTGGTCCAGCCCGTTCCTGCTACTCGCACCAAGCCAAGGGTGCGAGTCGTCAGCCTGGTTCAGCTCGTCCCTGCTACTCGCACCAAGCCAAGGGTGCGAGCCGTCAGCCTGATCCAGCCCATTCCTGCTACTCGCACCAAGCCAGGGATGCGAGTCGTCAGCCTGGTGAGGCCCGTTCCGGCTCCACGCATCAAGCCTAGGGTGCGTATCGTCAGCCAGGTCCGGTCCGTTCCTGCCTCACGCGCCAAGCCAGGGGTGCGCGTCGTCAGTCCAGATCCTACCAGCTGGGTCAGATCGGACCGGGGGCGCTACGGGGGGATTGAAGAAGGGTGGTGGTCAAGCCCGGAGCCGGAGCCGCCTCCGAGGAGCAACACCCACCCAGCCCTCCCCTATTTGGGGTGTAGGCGCGGTCGGAGTCCGCGCCTTTAGGGGGGGGTACTGTCACGCTCTGGCTCCGGGACTGTGTATTTTGAGCCAGGGTGTGTTCATTTGGTTGTGTTTGGTATTGGTTGTGTTGTATTTGGTTGTGTTTCCTGGTTTGGTCGTGTGACTCCCAATCAGTGGTAACGAGTGTCAGCTGTCGGCTCGTTATCTCTGATTGGGAGCCATATTTAAACTGTCAGTGTTCACCTTAGTGTTGTGGGTTTTTGTTCCGTATCAGTCATTGTAACTGAGGACTTCACGATTCGTCTTTGTTTGTTGTTTTGCATTGAGTACTTTAAGTAAATAAAGTCATGTTCGTATCGCACGCTGCGCCTTGGTCCACTCACTTAGTAGACGTTCGTGACACTGAGCTTCAGCTCCACCTCCCTGGGAATTTATAGAGAACAAGCATGCACACACACACACACGGCCCACAATGAACCCCTCAACAAGATTATAACGACAGAGGAGAACAACTCTAATCAGTTGAGTCATTGTTTGCTACTGACCCTGCCCCAAATCACAGGCAATTCAGCCCCATCGTCCCTGTCGTCAGAGCAAACAGAGCCTAAATAAAACTGTGTGTGTCTGGGCTTGATGTGTTGTCCCTCTCTCTCTACACACATGCAGATCTCTGAGTGGAGTCATTCATTAGAGGCCCTGAGCTCTGCGCCACCCACATTCAGTTTACTGACCCCTCGACCTCACATTAACAAGCCCAGCAGGCGGTGAGGTTCTTGGGGCCGACGGGCTTTCCTCTACTCCCTTTTCTCTCTGGTTTCTCTTGGAAAATCCCAACATCTTGACAGGCGCATGCACAGTGTGCGGTTTCTTAACTGACCCCTCACCACACATTGCTCTGACTGGGAGGAAGGTGGGGGCAGGGGTGTGTGTGTTTGTGGGTCTGTGTGTGTGTTGTATGTGGTGCACAGGGGGAATGGGATGTTGGCTCAGGGGGGATGCTGCTCCAAATCAGAGGGATATTCCGGACTATCTGAAATTAAAGAGTCCTCTGCTCCAGAACAGGGTCCAGTACATTTTTGCTGACTCCCAGAGCACTCTCTAAATGTGTTCAAAGAGCCTGACATGTCCTGAAAGTCATTACATATTAAATCAATTACCGGTTGACCATACACCTTTAGGTTTAAACAAACAAATGTACAATAACTTTGTAATATTTGAAATAGCTATTTTGGTATAAATTGTATAAATCTGCTATATTTTCACCAGAATTACCTATTTATAATGACATATAGGATATGCTGGAAACTCTGCTACTCTACTGAGCCATGGGAATAAAACAGATCTTTCAAAGCTTTCACTGAAATTATCAATGTTCTAAGACTGCTACACATTGCTAGACCACGGGATGAGAGCCTGCTTTGCACCCTGTTCGCTGAGCTGTTGACAGACTCCCTAGGTGGCTTCTCCTTAGTGGAAAATATGTGAGCCAAACAGCCAAATAGAGTCTGCAAATGTAAACTGCTGTTCATGGAGAGGGATTCAATATCATCCTCAGTACCTCTGCTGCAAGGATGCAACTTCAGTGTTGGGGCTGCAGATTTTAGTTTCTCCCTGCAATTCATGTCATATATCGGCTAGTGAGTACACACATACATCTGGTTAGAAAGCAAGGACAAAAGTTGTGCACCCCTGACGATTATCTACTCTATCTGCACCTGACGACTGTGGGGGCCAGTTTGAGCCTGAAACTTCTAATCTCATCACGTTGAGTGGGAAAACTGTCATATCATGACATTGACCTAATGATGAAGTTCCAGTCGAGTCAATCTGGACTGCTGCGGACCAGGGGCTGAAGAGCGTGCAGTGTCAAGGCCACGAATGAGGGGTGTTAATCCAGATTAAGCCAAATGAATCCAGGGGAATGATCCGAGTGCACACTGATAGCATGCCAGCAAAATTGTTGGGATAATTGGTCAGGGGCCAGGATGTATAGGCATGCACAACCCTTGTGTTCTGCGTAACCAGTATTGATGTGGGGAGACAGGCAGAAGGAGCAAGCTTTACCCACATGCTGGGCTGGGGCCAAGAGGGAATTTAATAAAAACTGGCAGAGAAGCAAGAAGAAAGGGAATCATATTTGTTCATTCAGATCTTGGTTGAATCAACGTTGTTTCTACGTCATTTCAATTTCCAACGTGGAATAGATGTTGAATTGACGTCTGTGCCCAGTGGGAAGTGTCTACATTTGTTTTTGCCAAGTATATTCTATTACAGACACATTAATGCATACTTTTAAATTATATTATGAACTGAACAAAGTCATAAAAAATTACATAAAAAAATCCTTAGAGTATAATTTTTAGAGAGTACTAATGTTACTGACCCCACTAAAACCAATAAATACTTACCTGCATGTAATTTTGTCCTTGAAACATTATATTGAAATACTGTAAAATTCCATTCATTGCTATAGATTGGGTAAGAGTTTAATCAAAACCATGGAAACGCCATAGAAATGCCACGTACGCGTCCCCTTGCGGGAGATACTGTAAATCCAGAATCTCCTCATTTCCGCCAATCCAAATTAGCATACATTTAGGTCTAGGCTATTGTTTATGTGTATTTCACACTATGTTGGGTTAAAAATTGGAGTATAATGCTTGTATGGATGTCAACCCCAAAACATGTTAATGTCATCATCACCAATCAACTGCATTACACTTAAAAATGACTTAAAAACTACAACACCGATATCTACAGTAGGGAGAACAAGTATTTGATACACTGCCGATTTTGCAGGTTTTCCTACTTACAAAGCATGTAGAGGTCTGTACATTTTATCATAGGTACACTTCAACTGTGAGAGGCTGAATCTAAAACAAAAATCCAGAAAATCACATTGTATGCTTTTTAAGTAATTCATTTGGATTTTATTGCATGACATAAGTATTTGATCACCTACCAACCAGTAAGAATTCCGGCTCTCACAGACCTGTTAGTTTTTCTTTAAGAAGCCCTCCTGTTCTCCACTCATTACCTGTATTAACTGCACCTGTTTGAACTCGTTGCCTGTATAAAAGACACCTGTCCACACACTCAATCAAACAGACTCCTACCTCTCCACAATGGCCAAGACCAGAGAGCTGTGTAAGGACATCAGGGATAAAATTGTAGACCTGCACAAGGCTGGGATGGGCTACAGGACAATAGGCAAGCAGCTTGGTGAGAAGCAACAACTGTTGGCGCAATTATTAGAAAATGGAAGAAGTTCAAGATGACGGTCAATCACCCTCAGTCTGGGGCTCCATGCAAGATCTCACCTCGTGGGGCATCAATGATCATGAGGAAGGTGAGGGATCAGCCCAGAACTACACGACAGGACCTGGTCAATGACCTGAAGAGAGCTGGGACCACAGTCTCAAAGAAAACCATTAGTAACACACTACGCCGTCATGGATTAAAATCCTGCAGTGCACGCAAGGTCCCCCTGCTCAAGCCAGCGCATGTCCAGGCCCGTCTGAAGTTTGCCAATGACCATCTGGATGATCCAGAGGAGGAATGGGAGAAGGTCATGTGGTCTGATGAGACAAATATAGAGCTTTTTTGGTCTAAACTCCACTCGCCGTGTTTGGAGGAAGAAGAAGGATGAGTACAACCCCAAGAACACCATCCCAACCGTGAAGCATGGAGGTGGAAACATCATTCTTTGGGGATGCTTTTCTGCAAAGAGGACAGGATGACTGCACCGTATTGATGGGAGGATGGATGGGGCCATGTAGCGCGAGATCTTTGCCAACAACCTCCTTCCATCAGTAAGAGCATTGAAGATGGGTCGTGGCTGGGTCTTCCAGCATGACAATGACCCGAAACACACAGCCAGGGCAACTAAGAAGTGGCTCCGTAAGAAGCATCTCAAGGTCCTGGAGTGGCCTAGCCAGTCTCCAGACCTGAACCCAATAGAAAATCTTTGGAGAGAGCTGAAAGTCCGTATTGCCCAGCGACAGCCCCGAAACCTGAAGGATCTGGAGAAGGTCTGTATGGAGGAGTGGGCCAAAATCCCTGCCGCAGTGTGTGCAAACCTGGTCAAGACCTACAGGAAACGTATGATCTCTGTAATTGCAAACAAAGGTTTCTGTACCAAATATTAAGTTCTGCTTTTCTGATGTATCAAATACTTATGTCATGCAATAAAATGCAAATTAATTACTTAAAAATCATACAATGTGATTTTCTGGATTTTTGTTTTAGATTCCGTCTCTCACAGTTGAAGTGTACCTATGATAAAAATTACAGACCTCTACATGCTTTGTAAGTAGGAAAACCTGCAAAATCAGCAGTGTATCAAATACTTGTTCTCCCCACTGTATATGGTTAGCTATGCACGTTAGCATTTAGCAGACATTTTTTCTAAACCAGAAAAGGACAACTTATAAATATTATGCAGTGAAAACAGCCAACTATATCCAAATCGGATTTTAGTTACCACATTGTGGGAATGTGAGAACATATACTGTAAATCATGACGGATTTGACCACTTTGTTAGCTTAGCTTTTTTCAGTGGGCGCCAATTACGGCGTCATTCTATCCCCCATGGTCTACATTATTTTTATATCTTACCGCATCCATGGAGGACTGCTCCTTCTGAGGAGTACCAATATGGTGGTTGGTGGCTTCACAGCCTCTCATTGGCCAATTCATAGCATTTACAATCTAGTGTTTATATACAGTACATCATTGGTTGAAAAAGCAGGGCACCTATCTCTGGGGTGGACCTGGAAGTGGATAGAATTGAATTATTTTATTTTTTGTGCCAATTTTTTTTTTTTTGTGCCTACATTTTTTTTTTTTTATGGTATGTTTTGTGTAAGGATTTCCGAAGCAGAGCGCCTGTCAAGTGGGTAATCTCTGGGGTTGCACATGAAGTGGATGCAGATGATATACCTGAGAAAGAAGGTGAAGTGATTGGTGCACGTTGACGACCTGTATGGTGGATGAAGTAATGAAACCCACTTTGTCCATATTATTGTTTTTTGATAAGTCTCTCCCTTCTCATGTAAAGCTTTATGAAATACCCTGTAAGAGCTTTTGTGCACAAGCTCCTCCAGTGTTATAAATGCAAAATATTTGGGCATGGGGCGGGGCAGCAGGTAGCCTAGCGGTTAAGAGCGTTGGGCCAGTAACCGAAAGGTTACTGGTTTGAATCACTGAGCCGACTAGGTGAAAAATCAGTTGTTGTGCCCTTGAGCAATGCACTTCACCCTCATTGCACCTGTAAATCATTCTGGATAAGAGCGTCTGCTAAATGAATCAAATGAAAAAATATATAATGTATCAAGTGTATGCAGGTGGGAAGAATATCCTATGCCAGCTGAGGTTATATGCTGCATCTGTGGTGGCAAACATGAGCCCGAGTCCCCGGATTGCCCTGTTAGGGTGAAGGAGACAGAGGTGGTGAGAATAAGGGCTGTCCTGCATGTCTCTTAGTCAGTGAGAAGAGTGGAAGGAGCGAGTGTTGTTGAAGATGCAATGGTAATTGAGACTGCACCAGTGAATGTTTCTCAGCAATCAAGGGATCCTGCTATATTACAAAGGTGGACTTTGTAGCATTTATTGCAATTGTCATAAACTGCACAGCACAAACAAAGAAAAAATCTGAGAACATTTGAATAATTGTTAGTGCAGCAGAACGATTTGGGACTCGGTGAGTTTACAGCCGAGGCTTTGCAAAAAATCCTGTCAAAGGATGTTCCGCTGTGTAGGGATGTGACTTGAATTGGAATGTGACTGAAGTTGTGGGATGTTTTCTTTTTATGTGTCTATTTTTGTCTTTTGTAAGGTGTCTGTTTTTTCACCCTTTCCAACAATGGATATTATTTTTTATAGTTTACCACCAGTACAGTAGGTGGCGGCTTGCACCTGTAATGCTTGTTTGCGGACCGCCGAAGAAGAAGAAGAAGAAGAAGAAGAAGAAGAAGAAGAAGAAGAAGAAGAAGAAGAAGAAGAAGAGGAAGAAGAAGGAGGAGGAGGGAAGGCTGTGGGAGTAGGGCTGTTGCGGTGACCGTATTACCGCCACACTGGCGGTCACGAGTCATGAAGGCAGTCAAATTCCACGTGACCGTTTAGTCGTGGTAATTAGGGTTCTCCCAGCTCTGATGTTGCTGATGGTCATTAGTAGTCTACCAAACTTGCCAACTGCCTGGTACCAGGCACTCTAATGTCCCTCTAATCACTCTGACATCAATGCAAATGTAATCGAAAATCTAATCAAACACTTCATGAGAGCCCATGTGCTTGTGTTGCACAACATTTCTATAGGCTATGCAATTGCGCGAGAAAACAGAGTGATGGCCTCTATTAAAAAGAGTATCCCATCAGCTTTTTATAGACTTACTGTATTTATTTCTCAACTTTCCTAATATTAAGCACATTCATTATCTTTACAACAGGAGTATAGCCAACCTGGCTGGCATGAAAATGAATCAAGGGAAAAGTGTCCTCCATTCGCTATTTACAGTGGGGGGGAAAAGTATTTAGTCAGCCACCAATTGTGCAAGTTCTCTCACTTAAAAAGATGAGAGAGGCCTGTAATTTTCATCATAGGTACACATCAATTATGACAGACAAAATGAGGAAAGAAAATCCAGAAAATCACATTGTAGGATTTTTAATGAATTTATTTGCAAATTATGGTGGAAAATAAGTATTTGGTCAATAACTAAAGTTTCTCAATACTTTGTTATATACCCTTTGTTGGCAATGACACAGGTCAAACGTTTTCTGTAAGTCTTCACAAGGTTTTCACACACTGTTGCTGGTATTTTGGCCCATTCCTCCATGCAGATCTCCTCTAGAGCAGTGATGTTTTGTGGCTGTCGCTGGGGAACACGGACTTTCAACTCCCTCCAAAGATTTTCTATGGGGTTGAGATCTGGAGACTGGCTAGGCCACTCCAGGACCTTGAAATGCTTCTTACGAAGCCACTCTTTCGTTGCCCGGGCGGTGTGTTTGGGATCATTGTCATGCTGAAAGACCCAGCCACTTTTCATCTTCAATGCCCTTGCTGATGGAAGGAGGTTTTCACTCAAAATCTCATGATACATGGCCCCATTCATTCTTTCCTTTACACGGATCAGTCGTCCTGGTCCCTTTGCAGAAAAACAGCCCCAAAGCATGATGTTTCCACCCCCATGCTTCACAGTAGGTATGGTGTTCTTTAGATGCAACTCAGCATTCTTTGTCCTCCAAACACGACAAGTTGAGTTTTTACCAAAAAGTTCTATCTTGGTTTCATATGACCATATGACATTCTCCCAATCCTCTTCTGGATCATCCAAATGCACTCTAGCAAACTTCAGACGGGCCTGGACATGTACTGGCTTAAGCAGGGGGACACGTCTGGCACTGCAGGATTTGAGTCCCTGGCGGTGTAGTGTGTTACTGATGGTAGGCTTTGTTACTTTGGTCCCAGCTCTCTGCAGGTCATTCACTAGGTCCCCCCGTGTGGTTCTGGGATTTTTGCTCACCGTTCTTGTGATCATTTTGACCACACGGGGTGAGATCTTGCGTGAAGCCCCAGATCAAGGGAGATTATCAGTGGTCTTGTATGTCTTCCATTTCCTAATAATTGCTCCCACAGGTGATTTCTTCAAACCAAGCTGCTTACCTATTGCAGATTCAGTCTTCCCAGCCTGGTGCAGGTCTACAATTTTGTTTCTGGTGTCCTTTGACAGCTCTTTGGTCTTGGCCATAGTGGAGTTTGGAGTGTGACTGTTTGAGGTTGTGGACAGGTGTCTTTTATACTGATAACAAGTTCAAACAGGTGCCATTAATACAGGTAACGAGTGGAGGACAGAGGAGCCTCTTAAAGAAGAAGTTACAGATCTGTGAGAGCCAGAAATCTTGCTTGTTTGTAGGTGACCAAATACTTATTTTCCACCATAATTTGCAAATAAATTCATTAAAAGTCCTCCAATGTGATTTTCTGGAGAAAAAAAAATCTCAATTTGTCTGTCATACTTGACGTGTACCTATGATGAAAATTACAGGACTCTCTCATCTTTTTAAGTGGGAGAACTTGCACAATTGGTGGCTGACTAAATACTTTTTTTCCCCACTGTAAGTGCATAGATTACATGTATTTTTTCCCCTGCTGCTATTTCGAGACAGGTGCATGATAATGGTCCATTCTAAATCAAAACAAATTTCACACATACTGTATGTAAAGACAAGATTAAATCAAGAATATCACTTGTGAATGATATTCTATCACTTGTGAATGATGCCCAGTTTAAGGCAAGAAATAATGCCTTTTTTTGCGACCTTTTCGAATCATAGTCGCACACCTCATGTAGCCTAGCCTATAGGCCTGTATGTTTTGATAAGGTTTGTATCACAACTAAAGTGGCCAAATAACTTCTTCAAATTGAGCACATTAATCAGTTTTACAAGGGGTCTAGAGCCTAACTGGCATTCATAAGCAGTGCGTGAATTTTGATATTTTTCACCATAAAAATGCACCTTTATAATAAAAGCATTACATGCATTATCACATTTGCGGTCACTTTTGATAATGGTGTTTTCCCGCTAATGGAACATTCGTGCTTATAGCCTACTGCTGTGTGCGCATTGTTGCACTTATAATATGAAGAAGTAGCCTAATAGTTTATCAACATTTTAAGCTAAACATTCTGATCTGTTGTGTCAGCCACATTGCATAAAAAAATGTTTTTTTGATGCTAGTGGTTGTATTAATTTGGGATCTATTGCATCCAACAACTGTTCCAGACTATGTTTGGAATATTTATTTCTCGCACGGAATAGGTCCACTTTTGTGCTATGGGGGATAGTAGATTGACATAGGCTGGTGCTTTTGCTGTTCGTTATGCCTACACATCTTGCTGGCTGACGTAAAGTAAATGTGGACAGTTCTTTCAATATGCACCTCGGAATTGAATAAGGAAGCGCGCAGTTGCGTCCCCGATGTGTCTGTCTTCACTTGTAGCTTGTGAGAAAGACCCGATCATGTGAACCATGTGAGTGAGAGGTGCTTCGGAGCAGGCAGCACTCAGGGAGAAGGGCACAATGCAGCACACCGGGCCAAGGGCACAACGGCCACTGGCCGCAAAAGGCATGGATTTTTTTAGGGTGCATTACGGCCACACAAAAGGGATTGTCACGTCTCCAGTACCTCATCGACTGGGAGGGGTATGGCCCAGAGGAGCGGTGCTGGGTTCCTGCTGTGGACATCCTAACCGTCGGTGCCCTGACCGACCCACACCATGGGAGGATCCGTGACAGCAGCGGGATGACACCGGCCTCGGGGGCGACCACAGAGACGCGGTGCGGGTTGGTCAGGACGCCGACAGTGAAAATCCCAGGCACCGCTCCTCTGGGCCATACCCCTCCCAGTCGACACCTCGAATCCAGGACTTCCAAGTACGCTGGACCTCCCTCGATGTCCAGAGGAGGAGGCGGGACGTCACTGGGTCCAGCCTCAGCGAGGGGACCAGGCACCACTGGCCTGAGGAGAGACACATGAAAAGTCGGGTTAATGCGGTTTAATGCAGCATTAACCCGATAGGAGCCCAGACAGAGGAAGGAGGCGACAAGCTTTGGAAAACCGGTCCACAACGACGAGAACGGTGGTGTTCCCCTGGGAGTGGGGAAGGTCAGTGACAAAGTCCACCGAGAGGTGAGGCCAGGGTCGTTGTGGAACCGGCAGGAGAAGGAGGTGTCTGGGTGTCTTTGACTGGGCACAGATGGAGTAAGAAGAGACGTAAACCTGGACGTCCCTAGCAAAGGTGGGCCACCAGTACTTCTCAGTCAAGCAGGCGATGGTACGGCCTATCCCAGGATGAACCGACACAGGCGGCGTGTGCGCCCAGGTAAGGAGGCAGTCCCGCACACCCGTGGGCACGTAGGCGTGGTTCTCCGGGCACTGTGCAGGTGCGGCTCTGCACGCAGGGCCTGCCATATGTCGGCGTCCACGTCCCACACTACTGCCGCGGTGATCGATGCTACGGAACGAAGGGATGATGGGGGGGGGGCGATGAGGAGGCAGGCGTATAGCCTGGGTCTTAAAATAAACCCGATGCAGATCCTGGTATTCCTCCGGTAAATCCACTTGAGGGGCGTGGTCCTTACTTTCCACCGTAGTGGTGTTGACAGACACCGCGAGACACCTCCCCTGACACTCCTGCGACCAACCCAGCAGTTTCCTCTCAGACCAGGAAATAACAGGGTTATGCCAACTCAACCAGGGGAGACCTAAAACAACCAGGTGCGTGGGGGTGTCTATAATCAAAAAGGTGATCTGTTCTAAATGAGTCTCATGGGTCAGCAGAGAAACGGGAACAGTGATGTGATGTACAAGTCCTGTCCCTATTGGATGATTATCCAGGGCTCGAACCGGAATGGGTGACTGTAGGGGAACGAAAGGAATGCGTAATGCAGTAGCCAGTGCGCTATCTAAAAGATTCCCGGCAGCTCCGGAATTAATCAGAGCTAACGGGAGTGAGGGGCTAGAGTATTCAGGGTTTTTTATGGGAAAACAGAAAAGGAGAGGAGATCTTGCATCCTACCGGAGTTGGAGCAGGGGAATTCCCTGGCTTATCACCTCCTCGCCTATTAGTGGATAGAATAATAGGTAGGGGAGAAATGACCCCTTTCTCCACAATAGGACCAGAGGCCCAGATTCCTCCTTCTCCTACGCTCTGCCTTGGGCAAACTTGCAGAGCCCACCTCCATCGGCTCTGGCTACGGAGCAGGTGTAGCCATGGGCTCCGGATTCCGCGCAGGTCTTCATCGGAACCGCAGGAGGTTGTCCAACCGGACCGCCATGCTGATGAGCTGGTCGAGTGATGGGTTGTCATCACGGCAGGCTAACTCCTTCTGTACCTCCTCCTGCAGTCCGCTGCTGAAAACGGTGACCAGAGCCGACTGGTTCCATCCGGTGGAGGCCGCTATGGTCCGGAACTCCAGGGCGAACTCCGAGGCAGTCCTAGATCCCTGACGTAGTCGGTGTAGATGCTCACCCCCCTCTTGGCCCTCCACAGGATTATCAAACACTGAGTGGAAGAGGAGGGTGAAGCACTCGTAGGACTCGACCTCGGGTCCACCCATTTCCCAGACCGCACCACCCCAGTCCAGGACCCGTCCGGTCAGTGTCGAGATGACTGTGGCAACCCTGTCTCTCCCGGAGACTGCCTCGGCATAGCGAGCGAGGTACAGGTCGGATTGCAGAAGAAATCCCTTGCATCTCGCTGGTGCACCGTCAAAGCGCTCCGGGAGGGATAGGGGTATTCCGCGGACCAGCTCAGATGGGATGGATGCAGATAGTGGTGGTGTGGGGGCTGGTGCCGGAACCGGTGCTGGAGGCTGGAGGGACTGCACATTCCCCTCCAACCGCAGGATGGTTGCCAGCACGCTGTCCAAGGCGTTGCCGAGTCTGGACAGTCCTCATGATGCTGGACTGTCTCTACGATGGTCACCAGCTCGGCCTTTCCCGCTGTCTCCATTTAGGAGTGTCGATAATTCTGTCACGTTGTATTATGATTTGAAGACAGGCACAGAAATACATATTCATTTTTTTTTTACTCCACCCAACACAAACACGTGTATATATATATATATATATATATATACAAAAGGGATGTAACCCAAACAAAGAGCGAGATGTAACCTCTACACAATACACGGGACGAGACCCGTAAACAACAAGGGCACAATACACGGTACTCACGAGACCAACGGACATGGGTCAATTATCGACAAGGACAATGGGGAACAGAGGGCACATATATACACATACTAATCAGGGGGAATGGGAGCCAGGTGTGCGTAAGGAGACAAGACAGTCCGGGGTTGGTGGTAATGATCTAGTTCAGTGACACCTAGAAGGGCAGTGACGTAGACCTCCGGACATGGTGAATGGAATGAGTAGCAGTACCGGGGGAATCCGTGAGAGGGATGCCGTGGGGAAATTTGAGGCATTAGCAAGTGCTTGTCAAATTGTGAATGAGAGACTGATGAAGTGTACAGCCTGCGCGAAAAACAAAGCAGAGCTCATGCCTTTCAAGCAACTTTTTTCAAATCATCATTAGCAGCCTTACAATGTATTAAAAATCAAAACACATAGCCCAACATTGATAGAACAACTAAAGTTACATTAATAACTCTAAATTAAGCATATAGGAGTACCTATTTATTTGTTAACCTCTCAACACAGAATAGCCGCATGTGTGCACTGCCTCAAATCGTTTGGAGAAAAGGTCCTTTATATTTTATTCAACTTTCTTCAACTGTATTCTTCATACTATAAAATAAAATAATGCCACGGAATTCTAAGCAAATCTTGTCTGCTAAATGAACTAGTGTAGCCCACACCCATTTGGCATAGCCAGATCAGGACCTAACATAACAACAACTCAGAGTATGCGATTCTGTTCTTCTGAAATAGACTACATTTTCTTCATATCATGTTTCTTTAGACCTGTCTAAAATAAATAATGGATTTATTGTGAAGGTGTAGGCTATATTACATGGATTTATTAGACTTTTTAAAATGTAGATGTTCCAAAGGTCAGAGAGTGCTGTCTTGCTTCTGGCTCTTAGGAAACTTTGTAGCATTTCATTTTTTTATGTATTATTTCTTATGTTATTAGCCCAGAAAATGGTTTGTGTTATTACATACAGCTGGGAAGAACTACTGGATATCAGAGCAGCGGTAACTCAGCAGCACTACCAGCATTGCGAGCTGGAATATTACTTTCCTGAAGCGGCTCCTTTGTTCACAACCCCCAGGGTAATTGAACTGATTCCAGAGGCCGAAAAAAAACAACGCCGGAGGAGAGGTACTCGGAGCGGCCTTCTAGTCCCCCCTAGGAGGCGTGCACACCACCCACCGCTTCCGAGTATATTACTCGCTAATGTTCAGTCTCTGGATAATAAAGTTGACAAGCTCAGGGCGACGGTTTCTTTCCAGACAGACATCAGGGATTGTAACATACTCAGTTTCACGGGAACATGGCTCTCTCGGGATATATTGTCCAAGTCGGTCCAGCCAGTTGGGTTCTCAGTTCATCGCGCAGACAGGAATAAATATCTCTCCGGGAAGCAGAAAGGCGGAGGTGTATGTTTTATGATTAACGACTCATGGTTTAATTGTGATAACATACAGGAACTCAAGTCCTTTTGTTCACCCGACCAAGAATACCTCACAATCAAATGCCGACCGTATTATCTCAAAAGAGAATTTTCTTCAGTTATAGTCACGGCCATGTATATCCCCCCTCAAGCCGATACCATGACGGCACTCAAAGAACTTCACTGGACTCTATGCAAACTGGAAACCACATATCCTGAGACTGCATTTATTGTAGCTGGGGATTTTAACAAAGCACATTTGCGGAAAAGGTTGCCGAAGTTCTATCAACACATCAACTGTAGTACTCGCGCTGCTAAAACACTCAACCACTGCTACTCCAACTTCCGGAATGCATACAAGGCCCTCCCCCGCCCTCCTTTCGGCAAATCTGAACACAACTCCATTTTGCTCCTCCCTTCCTATAGGCAGAAACTCAAACAGGAAGTACCCAAGCTAAGGACTATTCAACACTGGTCTGACCAATCGGAATCCACGCTTCAAGAATGTTTTGATCACGCAGACTGGGATAGGTTCCGGGTAGCTTCAGAGAATAATATTGACGTATATACTGATACGGTGACTGAGTTTATCAGGAAGTGTATAGGAGATGTTGCACCCACTGTGACTATTAAAACCTACCCTAACCAGAAACTGTGGGTAGATGGCAGCTTTCCCGTAAAACTGAAAGCGCGAACCACCAAATTTAACCATGGCAAGGTGACTGGGAATATGGCAGAATACAAACAATGTATTTATTCCCTCCACAAGGCAATCAAACAGGCAAAACGTCAGTATAGGGACAAAGTGGAGTCACAATTCAACGGCTCAGACACGAGACGTATCAAATCAAATCAAATCAAATCAAATTTTATTGGTCACATGCGCCGAATACAACAGGTGCAGACATTGCAGTGAAATGCTTACTTACAGCCCTTAACCAACAGTGCATTTATTTTAAACAACAAAAGTAAGAATAAAACAACAACAACAAAAAGTGTTGAGAAAAAAAGAGCAGAAGTAAAATAAAGTGACAGTAGGGAGGCTCTATATACAGTAAAATAAAGTGACAGTAGGGAGGCTATATATACAGGGGGGTACCGTTGCAGAGTCAATGTGCGGGGGCACCGGCTAGTTGAGGTAGCTGAGGATGTGACAGGGTCTACCTACAGACAATCACAGACTACAAAAGGAAAACCAGCCACGTCTTGCTTCCGGACAAGCTAAACACCTTCTTCGCCTGCTTTGAGGATAATACAATGCCACCAACGCGGCCCGCTACCAAGGACTGTGGGCTCTCCTTCTCCGTGGCTAACATGAGTAAGACATTTAAGCGTGTTAACCCTCGCAAGGCTGCCGGCCAAGATGGCATCCCTAGCCGCGTCCTCAGAGCATGCGCAGACCAGCTGGCTGGTGTGTTTACGGTCCTATTCAATCTCTCCCTATCCCAGTCTGCTGTCCCCACATGCTTCAAGATGGCCACCATTGTCCCTGTACCCAAGAAAGCAAAGGTAACTGAACTAAATGACTATATCTCCGTAGCACTCACTTCTGTCATCATGAAGTGCTTTGAGAGACTAGTCAAGGATCATATAACCTCTACCTTACCTGCCACCCTAGACCCACTTCAATTTGTTACCGCCCCAATAGATCCACAGACGATGCAATCGCCATCACACTGCACACTGCCCTATCCCATCTGGACAAGAGGAATACCAATGTAAGAATGCTGTTCATTGACTATAGCTCAGCATTCAACACCATAGTACCCTCCAAGCTCATCATTAAGCTCGAGGCTCTGGGTCTGAACCCCGCCCTGTGCAACTGGGTCCTGGACTTCCTGACAGGCCGCCCCCAGGTGGTGAAGGTAGGAAAAAACACCTCCACTTCGCTGATCCTCAACACTGGGGCCCCATAAGGGTGCGTGCTCAGCCCCCTCCTGTACTCCCTGTTCACCCATGACTGCGTGGCCAAGCACACCTCCAACACAATCATCAAGTTTGCAGATGACACAACAGTAGTATGCTTGATTACCAACAATGACGAGACAGCCTACAAGGAGGAGGTGAGTGCTCTGGGAGTGTGGTGCCAGGAAAATAACCTCTCTCTCAACGTCAACAAAACAAAGGAGATGATCATGGACTTCAGGAAACAGCAGAGGGAACACCCCCCTATCCACATTGACGGGACCGCAGTGGAGAAGGTGGAAAGCTTCAAGTTCCTCGGTGTACACTTCACTGACAAACTGAAATGGTCCACCCATACAGACAGTGTGGTAAAGAAGGCGCAACAGCGCCTCCTCAACCTCAGGAGGCTGAAGAAATTTGGCTTGGCACCTAAAACCCTCACAAACTTTTACAGATGTACAATTGAGAGCATCCTGTTGGGTTGTATCACCGCCTAGTACGGCAACTGCACCACCCGCAACCACAGGGCTCCTCAGAAGGTGGTGCAGACCCCAACGCATCACCGGGGGAAAACTACCAGCCCTCCAGGACACCTACAACACCTGACGTCACAGGAAGGCCAAAAAGATAATCAAGGACAACAACCACCTGAGACACTGCCTGTTCACCCCGCTATCATCCAGAAGGTGAGTTCAGTACAAATGCATCAAAGCTGGGACCGGGAGACTGAAAAACAGCTTCTATCTCAAGGCCATCAGACTGTTAAATAGCCTTCACTAGCACATTAGAGGATGCTGCCTATATACATAGATTAGAAATCATTGGCCACTTTAATAAATGGAACACTAGTCACTTTAATAATGTTTACATATCTTGCATTACTCATCTCATATGTACACTACCGTTCAAAAGTTTGGGGTCACTTAGATATTTCCTTGTTTTCGAAAAGCAAATTTTTTGTCCATTGAAATAACCCTAACCCAAATTGATCAGAAATAGAGTGTAGACATGGTTAATGTTGTAAATGGCTATTGTAGCTGGAAACGGCTGATTGTTAATGGAATATCTACATAGGCGTACAGAGGCCCATTATCAGCAACCATTAGTCCTGTGTTCCAATGTTTGCTAATCCAAGATTATCATTTTAAAAGGCTAATTGATCATTAAAAAACCATTTTGCAATTATGTTAGCACAGCTGAAAACTGTTGTGCTGATTAAAGAATAAATAAAACTGGGGTTCTTTAGACTAGTTGAGTATCTGGAGCATCAGCAATTGTGGGTTCGATTACAGGCTCAAAATGGCCAGAAACAAAGAACTTTCTTCTGAAACTCATCAGTCTATTCTTGTTCTGAGAAATGAAGGCTATTCCATGTGAGAAATTGCCAAGAAACTGAAGATCTCGTACAAAGCTGTGTACTACTCCCTTTACAGAACAGCGGAAACTGGCTCTAACCAGAATAGAAAGA